AAGAATTTGTATTTTTCGTTCTGAGAGTGCAACTTGAAGCCTCGGTCCCAGAAGCCAGCAGTAGTTCCATGTTTTCATAGCTTCAACTCTGAGAATATATGTGAATATATATATATTCATAAAGATATATATATATAGAACGAAGCAATTGCCAGTCTTTCTCTTTCTCTCTCTCTCTCTTTCTGGCCATCGAGCAGCGCGCTTTAAAGTAATTTAAGGCGTCACATGTGGTTTTAGCTGGGTGGAAAGCGAGTTTCGAGGGAGTTGTTTTCCCAACCGGGCACTTTTTTGTATAAATTACTCGCTTCTTGACCCGGGAAATCTCCCACAACCCCCGGGGAATAGTATAGCCGCAGTACAGCACACCGCCGCCCCGCACTTCAGTTGATGTCTATAATTACTGAAAATGTCCCCTTCCCCTTCCCCTCCCTCCCGGAACTATTTCGGGGTGAACGTTTTTATTATTATTGAAAATTTGCTGCCCATTTATCTTTGGTTCCTGGTGCCGCCTGGTGCCTGCTTTTCCCTTAATCCCCTGTCCCCTTGTACTTTTCTATATTTAAAGGCGACTTGAATGAGATCATTAACATAGCACATATGCCGCCCATTTATAGGGGCGTTGCGGGAAAACTACCCCAAGAAAAATGTACATTTCGAATGAGTGGAAGTTTTTAGTAACACTTATTAATATGTACTAACTAGAACGTGTTCTAAGCAGCTTGAAGTACTAGGCTTATGAAATCGTAGAATAACTCACACACACATTTCCCAGCCACGCTCAAACTTGAGAGCCTTGAAAAGTCGCCCAAAGTTTGCTGAGAATGTTGGCCAAAAGTTACCACCTAGCTTAATTTATTTACACTTGTAAGTTTACCATTCTGGAAACTATTTTTTTCAGCCGGGAAATGTATGCGATGCGATGGGATGCGATGTGAGGGGATATAAGTATGTGGGTTAAGAAGTGTCAGAAAAGGGGCAACCAACCAAGCAGCTGCAGGAGGAGGAAGAGGAGGAGGAAGTGGGTCTGGGGAAAAGCTAACCCAAAGAAATCAAGTTGAATTGTTTGTGCGGGTTAAAGTTTGATTGATGTGCCGTGTCCCGCGTGCAGACAACATGAAAATTAGTTGAGAGACTCTCGAAAGTTGAATGCGGCATGGAATGGAATGGGACGCGGGGCGGGAGGTTTTGGATAAATTCCCCGGGTCATATAGTTGGAATGGAGTGATTGACGGCTAGGCAAACGAGCCGGGCATTCTGGAAACGCTTTAAAAAAAAACAGTACACAAAATGAGAGACAGAAACAAACTGGCATGTAACTTGATCTATAGGCTGTGTCTGAGTCATAAATGTTTCAGATTCGGTTGGCAACGGGAAAGGGAAACTCTTGTAAGGAAACATTTTCAAGTGGAAATCGGAGGAGTAACAGCTTGGGTTCTTATTTTTAAATAGCAAATATCACATTGAATTGGAAAAGTAGTTGAAAATGAGTAGCATCCTGTACTAGCAGGGTTATTTTCCATTACGGAAAGAATATTTGTTAGCAAAAAGCCAGAACAAAGCCCTGGGAATGTGGGAATATCAACAGGATCTTGAGGCATTTTAAATAACCACCTCCTCTTTAGGTATCCTTCAGCTCTTCCTGCATTTCATCTGCAGTTTATCCCTCATTCTAAAAGGATATCAGATTCAAGTGCGGTCTCTCTGTGTGTATATGTGTGTGTGTGTGTTTTAGGGTCTTTTCTGACCCCTGTGACCACCCAGAAACACGCCCACTTGAGCCCGATTGCCGTAGCCAACATTAGCAGCATGTGTCTGTGTTTTATCATTAACTTGAGTTGCCTGCCGCATGAGGAAGTTGCCTTGGTGTCCTGCGAGGGAGAGTGTGCCTTGCATCATTGGGCAAACAAATGCAGCAACAAAAGCCGAGGCTGCTGCGGGTTTGCTTTAGTGGCTGCAATTGCTGCATACAGCAGGCAGCATGCAGCAGGCAGCATATGTTGCATGTTTTGCATGTTGCTGGGAGGTGGGCAACTGACACAGTTTCCTGTCGGCCTGCAGCACTTGAGTGCGTGTTGCAAATTGAGCGCATCACTAAAAACAGACAGCTGCCACAAACCGAAAAAAGAAGAATCGGATATTTGATATTTCGGGGTTAAGTGTAGAGAAACAATCTCAGTTCGAGTGATTAGCTTAAAGTTTAAGTTGATCTATAAAGATGTAAGTTTTAGTAGAAACTCGATTTTGATTAAGCATCTAGATAGAGCGAGAGAGAGCCTTAAATCAGGGCTTGTGTGCCTGAGAAGAAGGTCGTCCAGCTGCCACAGAAGCATATCAAATGTCCGATATATGGAGAAGCCATGCAAAATGGAATTCGCGGTGGGCTGCGCATGCGCAGAAAACCGCAAAAGCCAAAGGGAGGGAGCCTGGGGCAGTGGCGGGGGCAGGGCAAATCCATAGCCAGAGCCAAACCCTAACCGAAGCAAAGCAAACCCATTCTGCAAAGAGCGTGCCAGAGACAGCCACGTGGAGATTCCATGGTTGCCAATGCACCTAGCTGACTTCGCCACCTGCTCCGACCCAAACCCTCTGCCATTTTCCATGCCCCATGCCCCGATGATTGCAATTTAACGCCTGCTTTGTTTGATGGCAGGACAACGTGCAGTGGGCCACCTGCTACAGATGCACAGAGAGAAACCCGTGGATAGATGTGCTCAGATAAGTCGTTATGAAATCTGAAATTCTTATGCCAGAAACTATATAGAGAGAGGTGACAATCTGTGTGTGTGTGTGTGTGTGTTGAAAGCCCGCTTTTCTGATTTTCCGATTTCACTTGGAGGTTCTTTCGTTTGGCTCAGTGCCCTTTGGGAGGTTGGTCATCATGTCAACGCCTCTGGGCGTCGGTGGCCTGTGGCAAGAGCGTCATTGACTCGGGCTGAAACCAAACAAGGGCTCAGCAACTAGAACAACTAGGCAGCAGCCAACAGTCAACAGCCAAGTGGCAATACACACATACACAGAGGGGGGAGGGAAGGGGAGCACCCACTTACCACCAACACTGGGGCAAATCATCATTATCGTCACCATCGTCACTATAGAAATGGACATTATTCGCAGGTTTGGACACACGACAAAGATCAACAAGCACTCACTGGGGTGCGAAAGGTTGCAGTTGACCGATTGATTGGCATCCTTAGCGGTTTCAAGATTCCATTCAAAGTGCTTTAAGGGCGGGAAAACCATGCCCCCTCTATACTACTTTTAGGTGAAAGGGAATAACCTGTATGTAGGGCCAATATGTATTAGGTTTTAAGCTAATTAGTTTATGTTCGGGCAGCACTTGGTGGCTTCTAGCTAGAAGGCCTGAACTGAACTGCTCACGACTTGCTGCTCGCTTTGATGTTTTCCCAATTGGCATTTTCCATTTGACGCTTGCAATGCTGGAATGTGAATGAATGCCAATTAAATTGTGTTTGTTGGCAGCCGAAAACGTATGCAGGAAGTATCTCATGCATATGTTATTCTATATCCTGAATAATTTACTCACCACCAATCGGCCATCAGTTCGAAACGCACTCAAACATAGAAGTTTCCTTTTGGTGTCGAATGTGCCTCGATGAATGCAAATTTTCCCTCCTTTGATAATTGCCCTTGATATCATTGTTACACCATGTAGCAGCAGCATATAGTATCTATGCATACAAATGGCAAATATTTATGAAAAATAATTTACTCAACTATCATCTGTATGTCCATACATCCACTCTTTCCCTTCCGTCCGATACTTGGTTATCCCCAAAAGCAAAACAAAGCAAAACAAAACAAAACCAAAACTGTAAAAAAAAATAACTGTAAAATATGGCAGTCTCTGTTTGCAGTGAAAACGAATTTATAATCCCCCAAAACGACGGAATAACAAAATATTCATAATGCAGGGAAGATGGAAAATGGGAAGCTGTTGGGTTGGGGGAAAAACAATTCAGTCATTATAGTGCTGAAGTTGCGTAATTAAAACCCTTTGTAAGGGGGGTTTGGTATGACTATGTTTTGAGTTACTGATCTGGCCGAAGGGCATCGAACAGTCGGTGTAGCGCACCCTTCAGGTTCCGATACCGATTCCCTTTTGCTTTGCTTTCGCATTTGCCCAAACTGAGCTTCTCGATTTCAGTTTTGGGTTCGATTTGCGTGGCCAAATTAAATAAAAATGCAAATAAAAATAAGAGTAAAAAGGAAAATGAAAACAAGAACACGAGCACGAACACGAACAGGAAAAGAAAGAACACAAATGTGTTTTAATATTTTTTACGCAAAATGAAATAATATGCGAATGTTTTTATTTATTAAAGCTGCAATTTATTGTTGTCGTACTCTCTGTGGCATATTGTTGTAGTTCCTGCAACCTTACTTTGCTCGCAACCGAAACCACCTCGGCAAAAAAAACTCCCAGAAATGGGAAATAAAATGCAAGTGCAATCGATCTTGCCAGTATGGGTTGTGGGTATGGGTATAGGGATATATGGACATGAATACGGATTGGTTATATATAAGTGTGTGTGTGTGTGTGTGTGTGTGCTGGTTCAGTTCAGGTTGCTGTTGTCCGCTTTTTGTTTTTTGACTCGCTTCCTCCATCTCTCTCTTTCTCTCTGAACTGCCATAAATCAAACATTTTCATCTTTAAGCCTTTTGGTTTTATGCTAAAGCCGTACAAATCGGCCCTCTGAAACGTTTTGGGGTGCGAAGCTTTTAAACAAATCCGGTTAATGTTCGATTCGGGCACGGGTTTATCGAGCGTTAATTGCGGATTTTTTGTGGTTGCTTGTTGGGGGAAAAAAAGAGGATAATGCCGAGATCTTGGCTTTATTACCAACTGGCAGCTAAGCACTTGTTTTGCCTACTGTGTCGTCCAAGTTTAGCTCTTACTTAACTTAACTGGAAATGAAATCCCTCGAATGCCCTGATGAACATTAAATAAAAGTATCTTTCCATCTTTTCCCTTATTGCAGATGCCAATCCTCAGCCGCAGCCTCAGCCACAGCAGCAGCTGCAGCAGAATCAGCTTGTCCAGCAACAGCAGCTCCAGGCTCCACGATTCACCACGCATCCGTCGTCATCGGGGTCGATTGTCAGCGAGGGAAGCACCAAGATACTACAGTGTCATGCGCTGGGTAAGTTGACAAACATGATATGACTAAGAAAAGAGAAAGTTCTCTCTCTCTCTCTGACAGAAATATAACCTCAGTGTCCCAGAAACCCTTCTTCCGCGCTGTAAACAGTAAAAACTAATCCGAAAATCACTTAATAGCCTGCCTGTTGACAAAACTGAATCGAATGCGTATAATTTGGTCAGTAAACACATTTTTGTTATGTCCGCGACGGCACCTGCTGGGCTGGGCGTGTCAAACATAATATCCACCGTGAGCGGCATTATAATTCCCTTCTGGTGAGGGTTCATCACTCCCCTTTCGATGTCCTTTCGGCCTTCCAACAACACAGAACAACACACAACACTTGTCCCTCAAAACGCCTGACAGCTAAGCTGAAAGCAAAAGAGGGGGCTTAGTGTAAAACGAAACCATAAACGAAAACACTTTTTTGTTTTTGTTTTTGTTTTTGTTTTAGCCCTGCTCCTCGTGCGCGCTTTTGAAAGATAATGAAGTAGAAAAACAATAACTTTTATGAGGTTTCCCTCTCAGCTGGGGCCCCGCTTCTGCTTCAGTTGCACAGTCCCGTAGTCCCGCAGTCCCAATCCCGATTCCACACCCACTTTCATTCCCAGGCGACCGCCAAGTAATCCTTTGAGCGCTTTAGGGCGTGCCCAAAGTCCAGAGTCCCGGGTTCCCAGCTTGTTCCCAGGTACACGTAATGCTTCCTCCCGTGCTTTGCCTGCCGCCTGAATTTGACAGTTTCGAGTATCGGTTTCATATTGCGTCCCCCATCTCCCACCCCCCAAGAAATATGCCCAAAAAGAAATGTTATGAACTTACCTTGGACTGTCCTGGCCGCCTTGTCCTTCGGCCTTGTTTTTGATACCCTTGCAAAGGCTACTCAAGTTGGGTTATAGAGGATGTCCATCTTACTGGCAGTTGCTAAGTAAAGCAGCATTTAAGATATCTATTAATCAAAATGCATATTGGGAGAATAATTTTAATACCTATTAATCGACGAACTGATTATTATTGCAAGGGTATGCTGAGTTAGGTTTTCCGAAGCTTTCCCTCTTTCGTCTTTGTTTGGTCCCTCCGTCACGTGCGTTCGACTCTGGCCGTTTTCCTCGAATTCCTTGCTTCTGTTTTATGGCTGGCGGATTCGCAAAATTAGCCGTGAAATGTCCGTACTCTTGGCCAGAAATGTATGCCTTGTTTGTTGTGTCTTAATTGGCAAATTACGGCTAACGGCGAGTATTTAAAGACTGGTTTGGGGTTTCACCAGTAACCCCGATCTCAGCAGTTAACCTTTGCAAGAATGGGGAATCAAGTTAAGACCTTGAAAAACTCCCCAAAAACAAAGCATGTAGCTTTTCAAACATTAATTCTCCTTAAATGGAGAACTAAAGGGAAACTTTAACTAGGAAAAATCCCACTTTCCCCGGAAAACCCTTCTGAAGTAACTGTTTGTGTGGCTTTTCAGGCATAATCGCCGTTGGTTTTTTGGCCTTTTGCGAGGGGTCCCCAATGCTGCCGCCTTGGGTTGTCGTCAGCATTTTGATGCACATTTGAGCAGCAAACACACACACGTGCATCTGTGTTTTTGTGCGCATTTATGGGGATCTATGCAACGACACCCGAGAGCCGTGCACTTTGCATAAGCTGCAAGTGGGCTCACAAAAAAAAAAAAAGAAGAAAAACAAAAAAGAAAATAGAAGGAAAATAAAAACAAATGCAAATCTCTTTAGCTGCTCTTTGGCGTTGTCACACATGCCACAACGTTCGCGCTTTCAGTCACTTTGGCGGTTTTAGCTGCCATCTCATCTCCCTTTCCCTATTGCATACTCCTCTCTCTCTCTCTCTCTCTTACCAAGATAGTTTATGGCTAAAAAGAAACGAAATGGGGCTATTCTCTCTCTATGAGGAGGGAAACTCCTACCTTTTTTAGTGTTTCGGTTGCGATTTTTTGTGACCATGGAGGAACTCTCAAGTAAAACAAGTTCCCCCCCGCCACCACTCTCTCTCTCTCCGTCTCGTTTCTCCCGCTCGTCCTGTCTCTGTTCTTTGTCCCATTGCCGTCTCATCTTGGCTGAGCTTAACGTTTCGCGACAATTGTGAAAACAACACGAGAATTGTCCGGAAAATGGCAACTGCGTGGTTAAAGTATTGAGATACCCTGTAAAAATAAGAAAAGTTCAGAGTTTTCCAAGGGAAATGGAGGCTGCTTGAAGAATCTTTGGAGAGTGCATATGGTATAGGGGAAAATGGATGCATTGTAACCTTAACTAATATACCCTCTTTGGGGAAACTTCAGGGGCATAATGGCAGTATAAAAGCTAAGCAAAATGTGTGTGGAATTGTTTCTGGCCAACAAAATGAAATGCGATGAGGCCGCATATTGGTGGGAGCGAGGAAGATGATGGGGTTGGGGAAAAGTGCACATAGAGTGAGAAGGGGGAAGAATAAGGCTTCTTCAGGTTCTGCTGTTTCTGCTTCTTGTTCTTCTTCTTTGGCTGCCTCGCAAATGTAGCGCATTCACTTGCAACAAAGACTTTTTTTATGGCAGCAACAACAACAACAACAACAACAAAAGCCGCCAAAGCTGTTTTCAGTGGCAATGCTGCAAGCCCGACATGTGTCGAACAAGAAGGGGGCGACGAATAGGAAAGAGACAAAAAAGAAACGCATTTGCAGAAGAAGGGTGGGAAGGAAAGGGTAAAGGGGGGGTAGAACTGGGGACAGTTTGGAGACAGAAACTCGGCAGAAACGTGCGTGGTTAAAGTCTTTCTTCTACTTTCTATGCAGTTGAAGAAAAAGTGTATCAACTTGATATACTTTTATCGGGGATATCTTCTTGATGAGGCTCTCTATGTTACTCCTCTCTATTCCCCTGCAGTACCAATGATTTCCCAATGAATCATATAAAGTTTTCCTCAGTGCACTTTTATTCTACTTCTCCGACCTTTCTTCTGCTGCGAAAAAATAATGTGTGAGAGCAAAACACTACGAGAAGCACAAGCAGAAGAAGGTAAGCTGAAAAATTGCAAACTATTGTTTTTGTTGTTGTTGTTGGCAGCAGCTTTTGTCGCAATGTTTTTCCTCTTTCTTTTTTTTTGTCGTAAATCCTGTTGTTTACTCGCAGAAAGAGACGGCAGAGGAGGTGGCAGAGAAAGAATAAGCGATATGCCTATATAGGCAACTCGTGTCATTTAGGCTGAAGTGGATGGCTTTGCTTAATGTTTTGTGAGGGAAGAAATCGCATTGCTATATGGTATGTGTCTATGCCAAGGAGTGTGTGTGTAGGTGTACAGGATACGGGCATCCGTAGAGGAGAAAAGAAAGTATTCCTGAAATTGAGAAGCAAGAGAAATTCGAGAAAAAGTACTCATGCAAAATGATAGAAAGGATACAAACAAGGATATTGTGTATACTCAAAAAAAGATGAACTCCCTTCCCTCCCCTGCCACCCAACGGAGGAAGAACAAAAAACTGCAGGCAGTTAATGAACGAAATTGCGTAAATACCTGAACTAGGGGGGGAAAACTAGGAAAAAGTAGTCAGCAAATTCAGTGGCTTACAAAGTTAAATTAGTATCAGTTTGAGGGGAATTCAAAGAGATATTACTGATACCCGACTAAGTCTAGATTTCTGCCAGCTCTGCAAGTAAATTTCCTTTAACCAACCAATTTGGCCCTGCGTTATGGTTGTTCTTCTGCGGTGTGAGTTGCAAACAAAACTGCATGCAACCTGAAAAAGAGGAGACGGACTAACAACATGTGTAAACAAAGGCAGCAAATGCATAAAAGTGAAATGTGCAGTTAAAAAGTGCAGCAGCGAGAGAGGCAAGACAAAGGCAGAAAAGCCTTTTGGCCACTTTTAAAGTTTACTTCGCTTCAAGTGGCGCAGCAACAAAAACACCAGAAAGTACTTTACAAGCATATAAACTCACCTGGAGGACAGCTGTCCTACACAGAGAGAAACGATCGATTAGGTTAGAGTAAATCTGATGATTTAAGATTTAAGGAAGAGAGCTAATCTAACTTCTAACTAAATCTAGGAGATGTATTACAGAGAACCAGCTTCTATATACATATTTTCCTTTTAACACACGTTTATCTTACTGTGTAGCAGCTTGTTGGCCAGGTCCAAAGGCGTCAGCGCATTGCACTGTGCATAATTTAGCAAACATGTGCCGGTGTTGCCACAGAATAACAAAAATAGAGAATAGACCAGGACGGGAGGGCAGAGTGAGTGAGGGAGAGAGGCCGACAGACCAGACCACCGAAGACTGAAGGCAAATTAAAATTGTGTAAGACAAGCTGAGGAAACACGTGTTAAATAATGAAGAGGAAACCAACCTGCATATATATGGGGTAGACGAAAAATATGCAAAATGTTGCTAAAAGCACCGACAAAGTGCAGCAAATCATGCGGCATGCACAGCGATTTGTAAACATTTAAGCAAACTTTCAAATTGGTTGGGCAATTTCGCCATAAAAGAACGTGCACTGATATGGTATTAAAAAACCGAAACCGAAACAGAAACAGGTCACAGGCAAATTAATTAAATTAATCTGTATTAATATAACTCATTTGTCCTGAAGCTTTGATATAAATCTCACATAAATTCCCTCCGTTTCAGCCACAATGTGTGTGAGCTCTCGACAGCGTGTCCTATTAATTAGTAACTAAAACGTGAGTGAGGTCAAGGAAGAGAGGGTTTTCCGCAGCTCTTTAAACCATCTGACGGTCCCTTAAAGAGCCGCTTTGACTTGATGAGCTTAATGCCTGACCCCCGAATAAAATCTAACAAAAAACAGACTGATTTTCTGGCAACACAAAAGTCTATACACAGAGGTTGGTTTCCAGTTTTCTTTTTTTTTTTTTGAGGGACGGCTTAGTCCGGGATGAGCCGATCTGATATCTCTGGGGCCGAGAGTCCAAGTTGACGGATTGGCAAATGGACTTTCGGGCTTTCTGGCCCTGCCTGCAAAGAGTGCGCTTGACAAACATTGATGGTTGGTCCGGAGTTGGGAGTTATGAATGTGACGCGGTACTTCCAGTTCCTGTTCTAACATCCTACATCCTACATCCTGCATCCTGCATCCTGCTTCCCATTTCCTCCCAACTCCCAGTGCCCTGTTCTTAAATGCATTTGATTTCGTGGAACCTTCGATGGGCTGGCGTGCTGGCGTTGGCCACAAATCAAACAATTTCCGCTATGCGGGCAGAGGGGCTACTCCCCCTTTACACATACAAATGCAATTTGTTGCAGTGCGTCGCCTGTTTATTGAATTTATTTATATGCAGTTGTTGGACTTGCTTAGGCACACCGACTGGCTGACTGATTGATTGATTGATTGACTAACTGATTGACTGACTGACTGGCTGGCTGGCTGATTGAGTGAGTGGCGTTTGGCTGCTGTGTGGCAAGCCGCAAAGGCAAAAGCAACGGAAATATGGTGATGACTTGTCGCTAGTTCTTAGGAAGTGAGAGTGAAAAAAAAGTGTAGCACATTTTTATGGGCGGCAAACGGAAATCGCAATTTTATGGCAAAGCTGTAAAGGCAGCTTGCCAGGAAGTTTAAGTGATTGAATGTTTGCATTTCATTTAAGTTTCTTTATATATTTTTTGAATAATTTCTTTTTCCCGTTGATGATTCCTTTGATAAAGTTGGCTTAAAGTCTGCATGGAATATCTCTGCGGCAAGGAAATGAAATTTGTTTCCCTTTTTAATGAATTTTGCGCTCTGTCAATTCCATTTGGCCTTCGGTTTACCAGGACTCTCTCTCTCTATCCCTATCTGATTGACTATGACCGCTTCCCAAGAGAATGTAAATTTCTTCTTTTTTTCTTGGCCTTCTTGGTCTTCCTTCCTCTTTCCTGGCCTTTTTTTTTTTACTGCCTTGAGTTTTCCTTGGCTTTGTACTGGGCTTTCGGAGTGACAGTGACTTTGTATGGCTTGGGCTTAAAGGATTTTTGTCAGTTTAGTTATTAAAAACTCATTACACACATATGTGAGCACACACACTCAATGACAAAGGGAGACATGTGCAGGCACTGAGAGAAACCAGAAGTTAAAGGAAGTTCTGATCCATTTTTGGGGGAGAATCTTGGATTTTTATATGATTTTTAAATAATAATAAAGATTATAAGTTTGTTTTTGAAGGCTATCAGCTATCCTTAGAGTGTATTCTCTAGCAAAAGTCCGTTGGGGACCTGCTCCATCTCACTTACCCTGAACTTGCTGTCTCTTTTTGCCCCTCTTCTCCGCTTATTGGGCCTTCGCTTCGATTTAGCGCTGACACATTTCGCTGGAGAATGTTTGTTTCTTCGACTTTTTGCACTATTTTTTCTCCCGTTGCTGTTGACTAACGGCACTTTGATGTGTGTGTGCGAGCATGTGAGTGTTCGTCCTTGTGTGTGTGTGTGTGTGTCTGTCTGTCTGTCTGTGTGTATTTGCCTTACAATTCCCCAAATTGTAATTTTATAGCAGCGTCATTGCCCAAAATGCTCAAATAGACTTTTGCCTTTTGGTCCGTTCATGTAACTTTTTTTTTTCTTCTTTCTCTCTCTTCTGCTTTCTTATCCTTGGGTATTTTCTATCTGGCCAACACTTGAGAAAGTTTCGGCTGCTGCCACTGGGATTCTTCTTAGAGCCTTTTCTTAGGTCCTTCGCCCACCCCTTTGTCTCCCTCCATGCTCAAGTTGATTCCTATTCTCGGCTGGTAGTTTCCAGTTTCGCTTCTAACTCGGCTCAATTCGATTTTGTCTGCAAACTGAATGAAGTGAATTGCATTGCCATTGGCCACGTTTGGCTACCCGGATGCTACCCTGTAAGTGACCAAAAAAGGACGCTGTTAGGGTGATAGTAGTCCCAGATCTCTCGGAATACCTTCTTTCCATTAGAGACCATTAGATTCTATCACTAGGGTATCAAATGGAGTTCTTAAGGCTATGGACAGCACGAAGTACACCCCAGTTCTCCTATCTTTGTCAACTTTATGATCAACCTTAGAAACTTATGGCTGTTTCCATGTAAGACTAAGATGAATCCCAAATCAAGATGCCTTCACCACAGGGTATCCCGGATTAGAGCAAGCTAAACACCTAGCCATCAACCCCAATTCCTTCATGAGCCGAAGTCCCCGACTTAAGCTCCTTGCAAAAGCGTTGATGGCCCCGCCAGGATTTTGGCTTGGGCTTGCCTTTGGGTTTGGGTTTGGGTTGTCGCTTTCCCTCCCTCCCGTCGGCTGGATGACCGGATTTCGGCCTCCGGCAATCCAATCCGTCTGCTCCCGTTCGGCGTTCGGTGTTTGGTGGCCTCCATCCTGTGATGTGATGTGCACTCAATCCTGTTGCATCCTGGCCAGTTAGGCGAGTCTCATATTTTATTCAGACTTTCATTTAGTTCAGTCGGCCCACTTGGCCCCGCTGCCGCCGCCGCCGCACCCCTTTGGGTCACATGTAATTTTTGTTTAGCCATTCCAATTGCAATTCCATTTCGCAAAGGGAGTTTGGATGGGTGGAGTGGGGAGGGGAGGGTTGGCTGAGTGGGCGAGAGGCTGGCTATATAAATCAACTTTAATTTAAATGCTCGGCTGCAGCAATGAAATCAGAATGAGCACTCTATGTGCGCCCCCTTCCCCGCTGCCCCTATATAAGGCAACGCTCCAGTTCTAGAGCTTTGGAGACTCTTCTTTCCTGGGCGGCAGCTCAAACAAATGGAGCCATCTGTGGCCAGAAGAGTGTCCTTTGTGAGGAAGAACTTGTCCGGCAAGCGATTTAATTGCGGCATTTGGCGGGGACGGAAGAGGTGATAGCAATGGGAGGAAGGTTTAAGCTTGATTGGAGGAAATAATAAAGAATAGTAGTAAGAAGAATCTTGAAATCTTGTTAATATATATATATCAGAGGAGTATCCTATATATAGTCTTTAAAAAAAAGAGTAATCTGTAGACTTGAGACATGCAATCGTTTCACCGCCAGTGCCCTGGCAATTGGCTGATGCCTTTGTCAGCGCAAATCAAATAAAACCAGGACTTAATGATATGTACGAGATACCCTTAAATCACCCATCTCTACCTCCCACACACACGCACGCCCACTATGATATTTATTAAAGCATTTTTCGTTTTCTCGCATCTCCAGGATACCCGCAGCCCACATATCGATGGCTGAAGGACGGCGTCCCTGTGGGCGACTTCTCATCCGGCCAGTTCTACCGCTTCCACAGCACTCGGCGCGAGGATGCGGGCAGCTATCAGTGCATTGCCAGAAATGATGCCGGATCCATATTCAGCGAGAAGAGCGACGTTGTCGTGGCCTGTAAGTTCATATTCCAAGCGGGAGGGGGGTCTCTCTGACCCTGCGGGGCACATCCTTACAGCGATTACGCCGCATCATCATCATCATCATCATCAGCAAAAGTGAAAAATTGGTAAAAATACGAGTTGAAGGCGTGGAAATTCGAGATGCTTGCAGGATAATTGCATTCCCTTGCTAGTTTTTTATATTTTTGGGCAAGGCTTTTGATCAGATTGAGTTACCAATTAAGAATGATATTCAATCTCCTTAGTTCTTATTAACTGGCTTAGTATTTGGCTATTAAAGAGTGATGGAACAAGGTCAAGGTATACACTTTTAACCCCAAACTAAAACTGAGACCCAAATTAGTCATCGAACATTGGGTTAAGTGTGTCGTCTTTCAGCTTTCCTCTAAGATGGGCGAACAAAAAAGGGGGTTTCGAAGGAGGCGGAGTACTAATCAAACGGCTGTCACAGCAGCCAAGTTTTAACCCCCCTTCGCCCTTCCCCGCCCTGATAAATGTTTAGCTGCTAATTTTTCTTTAATGCGAACTTAATTACAACAAGAACCGGAACGTGTGTGGAGCAAGGAGGAGGGGCTGAGGGTTAGGGGTCACCGGGTTAGGTGTGGATGGAACGAACAATTAGACGAGTAAGTGTGAGTGACACTTGAGCTCTCTGCTCTCTGCATGTGTGCGTGCTTATTACCCCTTCACTACTACTTGAACCTAATAAATCGAGCTCTCGACATGAGAACGACCTCCGTGGAGGAGAACCCTTATGGCATCGCTTAAGCTCAGTGCTGCGATAGGTACGAGCTAGGTTTCTGACCAATCTTTTCTTTATTGTACCTTTTCCGATGATAATATCATATAATAATGAGAAGGAAATCCACTAATTTTCCTGTTTTTCCAACAAAAACCAAGCAAAGAAAAGTTGAAAATGATACGCCTAGCTACTTAGGTACTTTTCTACATGATGAGACCGAGTACCTAAATACTCCACCAGCGCTGCAGATAACCACCCGCCACCCCTAATGGTGACCTTCTTTTCGGGAAGGGGGCATTTGACGTGGGCGTGGCTCACTGACAGACTGACTCAATGACTCGTCGACTGGCTGACTCGCTGACTGGTTGGCTGGTTGGCTTGGAGCAGCAGCAGCAGCACCGTCTTGAGCATTTAATTAATTGTAGGACCGAAGATAGGGGAGTGAGCGTGCCTAAACTGAACTAATAACCTTTAAAGCTCGCTCAACCGGGTAGTTCTTGAAGGAGGCCAAATGGGGGGGCTGCTTAAGAGCGGGGTCAGGGGTTAAATTGACTTGCCCGCAGGCCGCGCGCGTTGCCTTCAATTCAATTAGCGAATGACACCACAGGAAGGCGCAGAGCAGCACTCCCTCTGGGTTTCCATGGAATTTGGCGTACTTCGATGAGAGGGGGTGGGGGGCAATGAGGGGGGTCGATGGCCTGGCCAATTTAGACATTATGAGCTGAGGAATATCAGCTGAAGTTACCATAAATGGTCTGACTAAATAGAATATCGATTACAGTGACTTAACTTGGATTTCTAATTCCGAAAAACATTTTTCTTTTTCCTCCCCACAGATATGGGAATCTTTGAGAACACCACCGAAGGCCGCCTGACGGTGACCAGTGGACACCCTGCGATTTTCGATATGCCAGCCATTGAGTCCGTGCCCGTGCCATCGGTTATGTGGCAATCGGAGGACGGGCCTCTGAACTATGACATCAAGTACGCCTTCACCCAGGCCAACCAGCTGGTCATCCTGAGTGCCGATGAGAACGATCGCAAGGGCTATCGGGCTAAGGCGACCAACACGCAGCTGGGCAAAGAGGAGAGCAGCGCCTATGTCTATCTGAATGTCAGCGGGGATCCGTATATAGAAGTGGCTCCAGAGATCATAGTTCGTCCGCAGGACGTGAAGGTCAAGATGGGAACAGGAGTGGTGGAGCTGCAGTGCATTGCCAATGCCAGACCCTTGCACGAACTGGAAACTCTTTGGCTGAAAGATGGTCTTGCCGTGGAAACGGCTGGAGTTAGGCATGCCCTGAATGATCCCTGGAATCGAACTTTGGCCCTGTTGCAGGTGAATAGCTCACATTCCGGTGAATATACCTGCCAGGTGCGATTGCGCAGTGGTGGTTATCCGACCGTGAGTGCCTCGGCACGCCTCCAAATCCTCGAACCCCCCGTCTTCTTTACACCCATGCGAGCTGAGACATTCGGGGAATTCGGTGGACAGGTGCAGCTGACCTGCGATGTGGTTGGCGAACCCACGCCGCAGGTCAAGTGGTTCAAGAATGCCGAATCGGTGGATGCACACATTGAAAGCGGAAGGTGAGTTGAGGGAGATCCATCCTTCTGGTCCCTAGCTAAAGCTCTTTCTCTTTTTGCAAATCCCATCGCAGATACGCCCTGAACACGGATAATACTCTGGTAATTAAGAAACTAATCCTGGATGATGCCGCCATGTTTCAGTGTCTGGCCATCAACGAGGCGGGGGAGAACTCGGCGAGCACCTGGCTGCGCGTGAAAAGTAAGTCAAGAGCTGATTTATGGCTATGCCTGCGTGACACGGAAGCTGAATGTAGGAGCTATTGGAATGGAAAACTAATGAAGAAACCGGAAAATATTCAGGTTAATCGATAAATATGTTAATATTGCCAAGCCCCACAGTCGGCCGTGTCACACAAAGGCAGGATAAGATGAAGTTAAGGAGATTTAATAATGCCTGAATGCCCGTCGCATTGGTCTACTAAATAATTGCTCTTTCCATATGCCTCCTCTCCCTATATCTATATATCTCTCTCTTTACATCTCTACTCCATATACCATATAATCGTGAATATTTTTGCATTTTGACCTTTTAACCTTTATTAACCAAAAAAACAAAAAAAAACAACAAAATTCATAGCAAAAACGGCCAAGAACCGCGTGAAGCGCTTGGCCCAGCCGCGAATCCTGAGCGTAAGAGCTTCGCATGCTGGCTTGGGAACGGAAAAGGGATCGGGATCGGGATCGGGATCAGGTTCTTCCTCCGGTAGACGCAAGGAGTATCGCTTTGGTATGGGCATACAGCTGAATGCCACACAAAAACACATCAACTTCTGCACTCAAACACTTACCTGCACTTACCTCTAGCACTGCACCTTCCTTATAGAGCAAAACCACCCACGAACTTCCCCCCCTCGTTAGACTACTACCTCCAAACCACCCCTAGAAAGTAGCTCTTTTGATTGTTTTGCGATTGAATTTGTTGTTTTATTGGCTTGGCTTGCTGTTATTTTTAGTGCCTTTGGCATCCAAAGTCTAAGCTTAAACATTATCTGGCAGTAGTGCTCCTTTCCTTGGCTCCCTTCTTTGGCCCAACATCTCCTCCTTCTGTGCCACGGACCATTCTTAATTTGTTTTTCACCCTGCGGGCGGCTCCGTGTTCGTTTGGCAGTCTTGGCCAAGCGCCTTTGGCCAACAGGAGGGAGGACCATTTGGAATTTTATCCTGCTCTACGAGTAGTATTTCTCTGTTCCACTCTCTATTCTGTTGCTTTATCAAATTTGTCAAAAGCAGAAGAATTTCTCATTCAAGTTGATTAGTCCCCGGCAAGCGCTTCGCCACCTTCTCTTTTGGCCAAACCCAACACCCATGCCATGGTTAATCTGATGAATCTTACTTTTATGTCCCCGAAAAGCAGAGTTTTTCTGCAACGAACTAAGTCTTTGTCAATTCGCAAGGCATTTGCCTACACTGCGAGAAAACGTCTTCATTCCTTTATGGTTTTTGCATTTATTTTAGTTTGAGTTTCAATGGTTTTGGCATTAATTTAGTTACTATCTAACCTTAAACTTAGTTTAATCTTCCTTAAGTGCACCCTTTGGATATTAACCCTCTGAGAAAGTAAGCATTTAAATGGGTTAATGTGAATTTGTCATTGAGCGACGGGTAGGGTAAGTGTATGAGTTAGGAGGGCTTCACCTTCAAAAGGCTCTCCCAAGTACCGTTAAGTGGCGGGTCAAATGGCTGTCTTAGGGTTGCCAGCCACCCGAAAAATAAAACGCACACACACCCTCGCGAATATGACTTGCTCTGTGGGACAATTTTGCATTTTAATGAATTTCATAATGCGAAAATTAAGACTGACACACAAGTCACACTTCTGGGTAGCAGAAAGAGAGTGTCCTGTCATGCTGACATGACATCGTAGGGTTTCCTTTTTTTGCTCCTTTCGTTTGAGTTGCGAGTTCGAAGTTCCTAGGCAGCCGCCTAACTGACTGCCGCCTGACTGCCTGACTGGCTGGACGAAGAATAATTCCTCATTCATGAGCCTAACCCAAAAAACGAGTGACTCCGCGCTGACGCTTTAAATATTTGACAGGCAGAGTTGAGAGAGTTTAGTCCTTTGACAGCACGAAGGACATATTGTTTTGCGGGGTCTAAAATAAGTTTCGTCTCTGTGTCTTTCTTGATGGGACTTTGAGCAAAGTTTGTACTGCCCCCAACCCCAACCCACACCACCCCCATCCTCTCTCGCTTAAATTTTTATGGCCAGAGAGCTAGGATTTTCATGTAAATTTCAAATTTCCATGCATATTTTGCTGAGTTATTCTTATGTTGCAGCATCGCCCTGCCTCATTTCCATCTATTTTTATCTGCTCTTCTGCTTTCTCCCTTTCCTAGCCCTGATGCTGCTGCTGCTTCTCCTGCTGCTGCATTGTATTCGAGTTAAACTAGTTAAGAGATTTTGTCGTCAGCGGTTTATTGAAAAACTTTCCAGCTTTTATAGTTAACTTGGGCAAGTTTCTGATATTTCTTACTCCTGCCCACTCCTACTACTCCCTCTCAGCATGACTGAATGGTAACCAATCGTTGCGGCTCATTTAATTTTATTTGCCTAGGCTAATTCGAGACAATTTGTTTGTCTGCGCCAGCGCATTTTACGATCCTAGGCGGCGGCGGGCCATCATTTAGCCTCCAAGCTCACTAATTCTCTGCCCGGCTTCTAGCTTCCAGCTTCCGTATCTCGGGGATAAGTTTTATTGCCGGCAGAAGTTTCTCTTCCCTGTTCTCTGTTGTCTGTTGACCGACTGCAGTTGGTTGGACCTGTTGTTGTTGGCCAACAGGATGATGAAGGAGCTGCTGGCCGCCTAATCGGCTTTGTTTCTGGCCGGGAGTGTGTGCCCATGACCGCCCGCCTTCATGCCACTACTAGTCCTTTAGCCAGTGAGCAGTGAGCTGGCCTCGTAATTGGTCTATGCCGAGATAATCCTGATCAAGATCAAAATCGGATTATGAACACCTTTGGCCGCTTGCTGTTTGACTCCCGGGCTTGGGCTTTCTGATTCGATTGCCCAGAGGGTATGCTCAGAAACACTGCCAGCGTGTCTTCCACTAAGAGAAAAGTTAGATAAGTTTTTAAATTCCGAATAAGTAGTTGGTTTATATACCAATTTCTATATTTAAATCCTTCCCTTTCGCTGCTAAGGCTATCAGTGCTCATGATTAATCCTGCACCCATTCGGCGGACGCCCTTCTCCGCGCTTCTCAAGTCGCGCACTTGGGACCCGCTTGATTTCATTTTGCAATTTCTTTCGTTTGTTGTCTGTGCGCTCGTTTATCTGCTGGTGGAGCTGCTCCTTGCTATGGCAACAAGTGTTTGGCATTTGTATTGCTGATTCCCTCCCATTAGTACGTACAGCAGCAGCCAGAGAGAGAGAGAGGGAGGGGGAGGGAGAGTCCCTTCCCTATTTTCCGCTTGGAAGGCCACTTGAGGGATAATCCTTATGCCGGAGCACTTTTCACTTAGATAGGCGAAGAAGTTGAGTTGGGAAATTATTTTCCAGCCTTTCGCGTTCAAGGGGATTGCTGCTTGGGTGTTCGTCGGTCCTAAGACCTGGCTGCATTTTAATTGCTCCTCCTGCCCCTCCCCCTGCCTCTGCCCCTGCCACTCCTGTTTGTCAAAGTTTTGCATCTTTCTGTGTTGGCCTTTTCTCTGGAGCGCTCGCGCGCCTTCTTCACTTCATTTTGTTAAGTTGGCGGAAGGCTGGGCGCTCGTGCCACCTCGTACTGTGCTGCTCACCTGCCACAGTCAGAGTTTTCCACATCGCATTTTCCGGCTGCCTGAGCTTTTCCCGGCTGCCTCAACTCTCGAGTAACATAATTTCGTAATTTCCCGAAACGCAAAAGTGATTTTAATCGCCGCTTCCTGCCATTTCCAAGGTGCCTGCCTGCACTTAACACCCACCGACCAACCAACAGCCCGCCCACCTATTCATTTGTTTGTTTGTCTGTGTGTATGTATGTGTGTGTGTGTGTGTGTTTGAGTAATTAGGTGACTTTGGGGCGGGGTGGGCGTGGCTGTTTCATTTCCTTTGGTTGCCTGATGGCTCAATGCGATTTCCACTGTGCGAATTTGTAGAAATTTCTTTTTATTTGCCCAGTCGAGAGTTTCGTTTTCATTTTCATTTACCATGGCCCCCATGGCCAACAGGTGGCGCATTCGTCAGAGGTCATAGGTCAGCCTAGGTTAAACCCACACCGCCCCAGTGATTGATTGTAACGAACGTTGGAGTTTCTAGTTGATAGGTCCGCGACATGCCAAGCCCATAAAAAGGAGTTTCAAATTCCAACTTGCCAAGTTAGCCCTGTTTGTACAGTAATTCTGGCCATATTAATGGCCCTTGGCCGTAGTATAAATGTTAGTATGTATTCTAAGTTAACTATTTTTCCAAGTTAATCACCCCCAATTCGATAGTTAAACATTCCCAAAGAGTGATTTTCGATCAGGTTGAAATTCTGTATCAAAAACTCTTTGGTCGGTCTTAATGAAAGGAAGCCCCTGGGAAAACGGTTCTTTGTGCTTATTAAAATAAGAAAAGGGCGCCGCGGCAAAAGGAAAACTGAAACGAAAAACCGTTTAAGCGGTGCCAATTGATGGGTGGGTGGGTGGTTGTATATTTTAGAGCCGGGCACAAAGGGCGGCACGAGGGCTAAAAAACAATTCGCATGCTAATGCCGGACTCTGGAACGGGTGGCCACTTCAATGGCCAAGTAATGGCAATTATTGCCATCGCACGCCATTGCCCCCCCAGTTTTCCCCCCCTACCATCCTGCCTACATACTTTTGCCACTTGTCCGCCTGAGTGAGCGTTTTATTATGACTTTAAGTTGATGGCGCGGCCTCTTTAGTGGGTCAACTCGAAATTAATTACGGCCCACCCCGTTTGGCGAAGGCAAAAGGGAAATGGCCCAAGTGCTGCCTCGGCATTCACTGGGAATATTTTTAACTACAAGTAATAATGAATTTACAGAAAATTTTCAAGTATTGTCCGGGAATGAATTTCCCCATGTGTACCATCGGGCGTATACTTAATAAAATATTACGTATACGCCCCATTTGATTGCCAAACATAAATCATTTGCGAACTTGACTTCGATTTAGTTTGAATTTATGCTAAGCACTCCGGCTAGCTGTAAGTTTTTATTTGTATTTTCCGTATTTCCGACTCCCTGGCGAATTCTGCCGCAAATTGTTTCTCCTTTTTAGCAGGCTCTTGCTGTGTCTTTAATATGCGCCTTGCGTGAGCCATAAAAACGGGGCCAAAAGACCTGGCCAAGAAAGGTGGGGAGGTGGGGTTGCTCCTTACTGACCACCACCGGGCCCAGCTTAAGCACACTTAACACGTTGCCCGGCAGAGCAAGGAGTCTACAGCTTTAAATTTTTCATGCCAAAATTAAACCCGATGCTGTTTAATATCCTGCCCAGCTTAATTGTCCTTTAAGTGCATATCAGACAAAAGTTACTTGCTGCGGCCCTCGAGAGCCCGCTTAATCATGTTTAACCCGACCCAAAGTTCGCCTCCCTGCCTGCCAGCCTGCCTGCATATTTTCCAAGCTCTTTCTTTTCGAGTTTTCTGCTAGTAGCCAGCCGTATCGCAGTATCGTAATATCAAGCAGAGTTGTTGTCTTTATGATTTCCCCAACAATTGCAACTGCAACGGCGAGCACTTAATATCTTAATGTTGCAAGGAAGCCTCCCTCCTGGCTGGGTGTTTTTATGTTTCTTTATTGTAATTTTATGCACTTATTTACATAAGCGTAGTTAACGGGAATGCTTCATCATGCGAAATTATTACGAATATTATTACATTTGCCCTCGCTCGCTAGCGCTGTGCCTGTGCGAGTAGCAAAAACAGTTAAAAGCAGCCTCAGTTTCGGCCTTCGAGCGCGTGGCATTTGGCCATAACAATGAAGGCTGAAGGCGGCAGGCGGCAGGCAAAGCCAGCAGAAACAGAATCAGCCCCAGTCCCCTGCCACCATCCAGTGCCACTCAAAATCCAATAAATAATTTACATTAACCACCCAGAAGAAGCAGAAGCAGCGTCAGCGACAGCAGCAGCAGAGCCAAATGGTCTCGGGAATGAGCAGGATCGAGGGTGTGTAAGGCATCCATCCAGCGGCATGATTAATTGGCCAGCCTTTAATTTGGTGTAATCATAATTGCAAAAGTCAGCACACAATGAGGGGGGCTGCTGGTGGACTGCCGAGAGGTGGATTGAGTCAATCAAGCAGTTAATCAAAGAAAAATAATCAATCAGAATCAATTGAGAGCTCAGCTTGGCTCGGCATCGAGGAGTTCGCCAGGAGAAGAAGTGAGAAAAAGAAATGCTTATTAAGATGATTAAAGGGCAGACCAGCTACTAAGCACAGCGTGACAAAGAGATGTAGTGTTAAACACAGAACATAGATGATTTCTTCCGCCTTTTTAGAGTGCAAAAACTGTTAGCAAAAAGTGTAGTTTAACGACAAATAAATAATTAACAGCATGACTAAGTAAACATTTGGCAACGGCAGTTAAATCGACTGAACTCTGAGCATGAAAAAACGGGGCAGGCATTCCCTCAACACAGCTGTAAAAAAAACAGCAAAAATTTGATTTCAAACATTCAAATATTTATGATTTGTGCGTTGAATTATTTAAGAGTATCATTCATAGGTTCTCGCATGTAAATATTCCTCATTGTTTATTCATCAATAAGTTGTTTATAGATTTAATTTAATTAATTTTGTTTCAGCTCTGCTGAGTTCCATCTTTAGAAGCTGAAAAAAAAACAACCAACAACCACACAGCCCACAACTCTTAACTAGCCACTAATTGCGTTGAATTTTTAGCCTAGAACCCACCTTGATTGTAGCCTTAGAGCTTAACTTTTGCCACATTTTAATCGAATGCCTTTGAATTTCCACAGCCTCGGCTCCGATCATGGAGCAGCCGCCCCAGAATGTCACCGCCTTGGATGGCAAGGATGCCACGATCTCCTGCCGGGCCATTGGCTCGCCCAATCCCAACATCACCTGGATATACAACGGTGAGTGGAGTCTCGCAAGCACAACACCTACCTAGAGCATGACCAGAGCTACCCCCTCCCCCCCACTAATAATGACAATGCTAATGTTTATTTTTGTTTTTATTTTTTATCCATTTGCCCGCGCTAACCAAAAACCAATACCAACCAACTTGTAATGCTAACCAAACTGCTTGCTGCGTGAAAATCCGTTAAATAACCAACCAACCTGCCGAAATCAGAGACCCAACTGGTGGACATATCCAGCCGGGTCCAGATACTCGAGTCCGGGGACCTGCTCATCTCGAACATCCGATCCGTGGACGCGGGTCTCTATATCTGCGTGCGGGCCAACGAGGCGGGCAGCGTCAAGGGCGAGGCCTATTTGAGTGTTTTGGGTGAGTTGCCTGCCTGTCCTGTCCTGTCCCCATACCCAGCTTCTCCAGGAGATAACCCACCGAAAATTTAATTGCCTGCCTGCTCCACTCTACTCCGCCCGTCTGTTAGTTACAAGTGCGCCTGTCTAGTCGGACGCCTTTGAGTGTTAGCCGTTTTAGTTAGCGGGGCTTTCGAGGGGGGCTTCAGTTTTATGTTTTCTGTTTTATGTAGCAGCCACCCTTTGCCAGCTTTTAACGCTTGTTAATATATAAGCTAGGTTGGCCGACCATTAGTTTTCCACCTTTAAAACTAACCATTTTGGTTACCCTCTTTGCACATTTTGTTCTAGCCCAACCAAGCTTCAGCCACCTTAAAGCTAAAAACTAATTGATTAAAACGGGTCCAGAGTTAGTTTTACTGGCTGGCTTATCCCTTTCGTCGTAGCAGCATGAATGGAATTAAATTCTATTTTTTAAGCGAATGAATTCTTTAGCCAAGTATCTCGACTTAACCCATCGATTGTTAAACGGGAGCAGGCTTTGATGTTGGCACATCCTGCGACTGTTGCTGAAGCGCTGTCATCCGCCCACCGAAGTCGTCTTGTGTAACCACAAAAGAGATTCAAATTGAGTTTGCTTACCAAAAATGTTCTCCATTAAACTGGCAGTTGTTTGTGCACCTGTTTTGGCCCCCCTCCTCCCTCTTTGTATTTATCTCAGATATACTACTATCTATCTAGCTCTCGATTGCCAAATGATTGCCAATGACATTCGCTGCACACGCAGAGAAATATCTTTTTATATAGCAGAAAATTGAGTTTCTTTATAGATTCCGATACTATGATCTCTCCTGTATAGCAGCTTTTGCTGGCTACACTTAAGAATTAAACTTAAAATTTAAGCAAATCGAACAAATTTTGTTCTCCGTGTGCCTTGTATGTAGCCTGTTTCTGTTATCTGTGCGTTAGCCTGGCCCTAACATCGCATCAAATCAACTAAAATGCATGGTCCAATAATAATAATGTATGTCATCAAAGCCGCAGCAGCCACAACAACAACCAAAGCCGTGACAACGACAACGACAACGACAACGATGGTTGCCATTTGAAGTGCTCCCTCCTGGGCAGCGTCAATTGCTGTTTGGGATAATACGAAAAATGCCCAGCCCAATATTTTCCACATTTCCACACGTCTCTGTGTGTGTCTCTCTGCGAGTTTGTTAAATGGGCGTATGGCATGGGCATGGGCATGGGCATATGGCTTTGACTTTTTGCAAGAGAGAGAGAACCAGAAAACCAGAAAATCCGAAAGCTTCAAATGATTTTTTAAGGGTTTTTGTTGACTGCTGCCGCATGCCCCTTGCCGTTCTGCGTTGTCCATTGTGTTGTTTGTGTAATTAAAGTTGATTTGCACATGCAATATTTTTGGCCCTGAGCACACACTAGTCTGTGTGTGTGTGTGTGTATGGCACGTGTGCTGTGTCTGTGTGTGTGGTCCTAAAAGGCAGCATCAATGTGCGGCTAATTGGCAAAACGCCGGAATGCGGCCCGCGGACTCCATGGACTGTGGCCACTGTGCTGATGGCAGTTTTCCATCACCCCCAGCACTCCGTTCCTGCTGTGATGCATAGAAAGAAGTCTAGCAAAGGAAAGCCATGGCAAAGAATTCGAATCGGAACGATGGCTCTTTTGGTTAATAAATTAGTTAGCCAACTGAAACTCCCAACTGAGATATCGACCTCATAATAAGACATATTTTGCCACTGCCGATGAAACCAATCTATCCTGTAATACCTCTCCATCCAGGGTATGACTATTGAAGGCTGGGCCAAGAGGCAAGCCAGGTTCATTTGTGGACCTTTCGCTCCCGCCATTCATCGCAGTGCAGTTCATCTCGTCCCCATATGGGAAGCATGGCTTGGCTTATGGCAAACAGAAACCGACAACAACAACAACATGAAAAAGAACGACTATAACACCATCGGCAGAACCAGCATATAGCACCTGCACCGCCACCCCACCACTGCCACCACCAACAATGTCTGGGCCACGGGGCGCGTTGAACTTTTGATGCATGCGGGCCAGCAAGTGACTGAAAAGGGCTAAAAAAGAAATGCCGAGCGGGGTGGCAAAGGAAAAAGGAAGGAAGGGAAAGCATTAAATAAATAAAATCAAAAGAGAAAGCCGTACACAAAAGGGAGCACAGGAAGGGGTGCCTCAGGAGTGCAGGCTGAACCTACGGACTGCGTAGTACCCTTTAGTACAGTTCAGGTGGAGATCGAATGTGCCACGACTATAGTGCTTGCAGTTACTAACTTTTGCAGTTTACTACTAATAAATATAAATAAAAGAGGTTCCTCTCAGCAGCAAGAGTCTTCTTAAGATACAGGGTGCTCGCCATAAGGGCTTCATGTGTCACTTTTGGGGTCTTAAAACCTCATTTTGCTCACCTTCCGGGTTACCGGGTTTCTCTCCGCGCGTTAAGGGATAAGCCAAAGGGGCAGCTGAAAGACGAGGAGCAGGGAGGCGCCTGCTGCTGGTAGGCGGGCAATAAAAGTGGGCAGGGCTGTCGCGACTTGTCATTTGCCACACAACTTGCGGTCATTTAATCTGCATTGCCGTGTTGTTAATGTGTTCCATCCATTCCTCCTCCTGTCCAGAAACTCCTCTTATTTATACTTTTCCCCTTCTTTCTTTTCTTTTTTTGCTCTTTTCCCGCAGTGCGGACACAAATCATCCAGCCGCCGGTGGACACGACGGTGCTACTTGGCCTGACGGCCACCCTGCAGTGCAAGGTGTCCAGTGATCCCAGTGTTCCGTACAACATCGACTGGTATCGCGAGGGTCAGTCGTCGACGCCCATCAGTAACTCGCAGCGCATTGGCGTCCAGGCGGACGGACAGCTGGAGATCCAGGCAGTGCGGGCCAGCGATGTTGGTAGTTATGCCTGTGTGGTCACCTCACCCGGGGGAAATGAGACTCGAGCCGCTCGCCTCAGCGTCATTGAACTACCGTTTCCGCCCAGCAATGTGAAGGTGGAACGACTGCCGGAGCCGCAGCAGCGCAGCATCAACGTGTCCTGGACACCGGGCTTCGATGGCAACAGTCCAATATCCAAATTTATTATCCAGCGACGTGAGGTCTCCGAATTGGGTAAGTTTCGTTGGTTTCTTTACACTTTTATCTTTATATATTTTTGGGTAGCGTAGAAGTTGCGGTTTGCGGTGGTTTTGGGTTAGCAATGGATTTATGATTTATGAAGAGCGGGGTGAGAGCGTGCACGGGGTGGCCATTAATAAGCAAGGAGGGAGGGGATGTTGGTCAGAAAAGTGGCCAGTACTAGATTATATACCAATATAGTTTTTAAGGGTTTTTGCTTTCAAATTGTTGCAACTATATAAGTTAAGAAAAGATATTTTAATCGAAAGTTTAAACCAAAGAGCTACCGCTGGTTCAATCTAGGCTCAAGGGCAACTACTAACCACAAGTTAGAGACGCTCTTTGAGCCGCTCTTCGAGCAACAGCTGGTTCAGTCTAGGCTCAGGAGCAACCACTAACTACCAGTTAGAGGCCCTCTTTGAGCCGCTCTTTGAGCAACATTTGTTTCAGTCTAGGCTGAGGAGCCACCACTAACCACCAGTTAGAGACGCTCTTTGAGCAACAGCTGGTTCAGTCTAGGCTCAAGAGCCACCACTAACCACCAGTTAAGAACTCATTACAGACAACACAGAGGAAACTTAGATTTTGATCCGTTTCTTTTCGTTCTCTCTTTTTCTTCCATTAAATTTATTTTGAACAACAACAACAACAACCAACACCCGGAACGAACCGAACTGTAAATCGATATCCGATATCGATATATACTCGCATATATATATATATATATATTATTGTATTATTGATCAAACATTTTGTACATATTCGTTGTCTAATTTCGTAATTGTAATTTGTTGTTTTGCACTTTGTTTCCATCACCTTCACATCTACAACAACAACAACAACAACAAACATCACCACTTGGAACACGCTGTACTCTGCAACTGTATAAATACCACCCCCTTTCACCGATAACTGTACACCCCCCACCAACCCACCATAACATTTTAACCCAACCTAACCAACTGTATCTTTAACTCCCACTCAACACTCATAATTTCCCCACGCCCACCTCTCTGCCTGCTGTTTTTCCGTATCACATTAACATCACAGAAAAATTCGTAGGTCCAGTTCCAGATCCCCTGCTCAACTGGATCACCGAGCTGAGCAACGTCTCGGCGGATCAGCGTTGGATCCTGCTCGAGAACCTAAAAGCCGCCACCGTCTATCAGTTCAGGGTTAGTGCTGTTAATCGTGTGGGCGAGGGTTCGCCTTCAGAGCCCAGCAATGTCGTCGAACTGCCGCAGGAAGGTGAGTGCTTCACAGATCCCGCTCCGGGGATTCCCCCTTCATCCTTATTTTGTGCATCTCGTAAACGTATATTGTGTGTGTGTTGTATTGCTTTCCCTGAGTTGATTTCGTTTCATTTATCGATATTTTAGTTATCGAAAACTTTCAGTTCCCTTAACGATCGGAAGCTCTTGTAATTAGCGGATATTTTTTTATAGTTTATTTAACTTATTTCTGTTCAACTTCAAAGATTCTTTTTGTAAACTAAAAGTTTGTAAAGTTAACTTTGTTGTTTATGAATTTGATTTTGATTCATTATATCTCGATAACTCGATATATAGCCTTGTATAGTGTAAAGAACTAATGCCGAATACCCTGTATATGTATTGTACTTCTAACTGCTATCGTTGTCATCACGAAACTGAATTTTGATAACCGCCTTTGGTCGCCGCCTGAGCGTAGAGTTTCCGCTTCACCGAGGTATATACATAATAGACCAGACTCACGCCCCCTTTAAGCCCCTCACACACAACCACACCCACACACACACACCCATGAACGGAAAACAAGAACAAAAAACACCCAGAGAGAAGTACCGACTCTCCATTTAATGGACCAAAGATGAGCCCTTTATGATCTTCCACTAACATGCATCTTTTTCGATTCGCCCCACCCGTTTAGCTCCGTCTGGCCCGCCGGTGGGATTTGTTGGATCCGCTCGGTCCATGTCGGAGATCATCTCGCAGTGGCAACCGCCCTTGGAGGAGCATCGCAACGGCCAGATCCTGGGCTATATCCTGCGGTATCGCCTGTTCGGGTACAACAATGTCCCATGGTCCTACCAAAATATCACCAACGAGGCCCAGCGCAACTTCCTGATACAAGAACTAATCACCTGGAAGGATTACATCGTCCAGATCGCAGCGTACAACAACATGGGCGTGGGTGTCTACACCGAGGGCTCCAAGATCAAGACCAAGGAGGGAGTGCCAGAAGCGCCGCCCACGAATGTCAAGGTGGAGGCTATCAACTCGACGGCAGCCCGGTGTCGGTGGACACCGCCCAATCCCCAGCAGATCAATGGCATCAATCAGGGCTACAAGATTCAGGCATGGCAACGACGCCTCATCGATGGCGAGTGGAAGGACATTGAGAGGCGCATGAAGACAGTGCCGCCAAGTCTGATTGATCCACTGGCGGAGCAGACAGCCATCCTCGGAGGCCTGGAGAAGTTCACCGAATACAATATCAGTGTGCTCTGCTTTACGGATCCCGGCGATGGTGTGGCCAGTGTTCAGGTCCCAGTGATGACCATGGACGATGTACCCGACGAGGTCACCGCCCTGCATTTCGATGATGTCTCCGACCGATCGGTGAAAGTTCTCTGGGCACCGCCGCGCTTCTCGAACGGTATCCTCACGGGCTATACGGTTCGCTACCAAGTCAAGGATCGCCCGGACACGCTGAAATCCTTTAACCTGACAGCGCACGATACAGAGCTGACGGTGAACCAATTGCAGGCCACCACCCACTATTGGTTCGAGATCTTCGCCTGGACGCGCGTGGGCAGTGGCTCTCCAAAGACAGCCACCATCCAGTCCGGCGTAGAGCCAGTCCTGCCGCATGCACCCACCAGCCTGGCACTATCCAATATCGAAGCCTTCTCCGTTGTGCTGCAGTTTACTCCGGGCTTTGATGGCAACTCCAGCATTACCAAGTGGAAGGTCGAGGGTCAGACAGCCAGGAATATGACATGGTTTACCATTTGCGAGATCAATGACCCGGATGCAGAGACCTTGACCGTCACTGGCTTAGTGCCGTTCACCCAATACCGGCTCAGACTGAGTGCCAGTAACGTGGTTGGCAGTTCGAAACCCTCGGAGGCTACCAAAGACTTCCAGACCATCCAGGCCAGGCCCAAGCATCCGCCATTCAACGTGACCGTCAGGGCCATGAGTGCCCAGCAGCTGAGAGTCCGTTGGATTCCACTGCAACAGACCGAGTGGTATGGCAATCCCAGAGGTTATAACATATCCTACAAGCAGTTGGTAAAAAGTCCCGGAACCGTGAAATATCTACCCCGCTCGGTGGTCATCGAGGATCATACGGCCAACTCACATGTGCTGGATGGTCTGGAGGAGTGGACACTGTTTGAGGTGAAAATGAATGCCTGCAATGATGTGGGCTGTTCCAAGGAGAGCGAGACGGCCGTGGAGAGAACTCGTGAAGCGGTACCGAGCTATGGTCCGCTGGATGTCCAGGCCAATGCCACATCATCCACCACAGTGGTGGTGCAATGGGGTGAAGTGCCCCCGCAGCATAGGAATGGTCAGATAGATGGCTACAAGGTGTTCTATGCCGCTGCAGATCGGGGACAACAGGTGCTGCACAAGACGATACCGAACAATGCCACCTTCACCACCACCTTAACGGAGCTCAAGAAGTTCGTGGTGTACCACGTTCAGGTTTTGGCCTACACAAGATTGGGCAACGGAGCCCTGAGCACTCCACCCATCAGAGTTCAAACCTTTGAGGATACTCCCGGTGTGCCATCGAATGTTAGTTTCCCCGACGTCACCCTTACCATGGCTCGGATCATTTGGGATGTGCCAATGGATCCCAATGGAGAGATCTTGGCCTATCAGGTCACCTACACCCTCAACGGAAGTGCCATGTTGAACTACAGCCGAGAGTTTCCACCCTCGGACCGGACATTCCGGGCCACTGGCTTGCTGCCCGAGAAGTATTACAGTTTTAGCTGCACTGCCCAAACCCGTCTGGGATGGGGCAAAATAGCCACCGCTCTGGTGTACACCACCAACAACAGGGAGAGACCGCAGGCACCGTCAGTCCCGCAGATATCACGGAGTCAAATTCAAGCCCATCAGATCACCTTCAGCTGGACACCAGGAAGAGATGGCTTCGCTCCACTGCGTTACTATACGGTGGAAATGCGCGAAAACGACGGCAGGTGGCAGCCGCTGCCAGAGAGAGTGGATCCGTTGCTGAGTTCCTACACCGCCGTAGGTCTCAGGCCCTATATGACCTATCAGTTCCGTATTCAGGCCACCAATGACCTGGGACCCTCGGCCTTCAGTCGGGAAAGTGTGGTCGTTCGAACTCTTCCCGCTGCTCCAGCAGCCGGTGTTGGAGGTCTCAAGGTTGTGCCCATCACGACTACGTCGGTGAGGGTGCAGTGGAGTGCTCTGGAGACGGGAATGTGGAATGGTGATGCCGGAACTGGTGGATACAGGATTCTTTATCAGCAACTCTCCGATTTTCCCACTGCCCTGCAGTCCACGCCCAAGACCGATGTCCATGGCATCAATGAGAACAGTGTGGTGCTTTCGGATCTTCAGCAAGATCGCAACTATGAGATTGTGGTGCTACCCTTCAATTCCCAAGGTCCTGGACCAGCCACGCCCCCGGCTGCGGTGTATGTGGGCGAGGCAGTGCCCACTGGGGAACCGAGAGCCGTCGATGCCGCTCCCATTTCCAGCACCGAAGTGCGTTTGGTATGGAAGCCACCAAAGCAGAGCATGCAGAATGGAGACATTCTTGGCTACAAGATCTACTATCTGGTCACCTATTCACCGCAGGCCCTGGAGCCTGGTCGCAAGTGGGAGGAGGAAATCGAGGTGGTCTCGGCCACAGCCACCTCGCACAGTCTGGTGTTCCTCGACAAGTTCACCGAGTATCGCATCCAGTTGCTGGCCTTCAATCCGGCCGGAGATGGACCACGATCGGCGCCAATTACGGTGAAGACGCTGCCGGGAGTGCCAAGTGCTCCGCTTCACCTGCGTTTTTCGGATATCACGATGCAGAGCCTGGAGGTGACCTGGGATCCGCCAAAGTTCCTCAACGGCGAGATTCTGGGATACTTGGTGACCTACGAAACCACCGAGGAGAATGAGAGTAAGTTTATCTCCCAGGGACTATCTCTTCTAGTCAAGATTTTTAACGTATGCTCCCCCTTCTTGCCACCACGACAGAGTTCAGCAAGCAGGTGAAACAGAAGGTGTCTAATACCACACTGCGGGTGCAGAATCTGGAGGAAGAGGTCACCTATACGTTTACGGTCCGGGCCCAGACGTCCGTGGACTACGGTCCGGGTGTAAGTGAGAATGTGACGACAGGACCCCAAGATGGATCGCCAGTGGCGCCGCGTGATCTCATCTTGACCAAGACGCTGTCCAGCGTCGAGATGCACTGGATCAATGGACCATCGGGCCGTGGACCCATTTTGGGCTATCTAATCGAGGCGAAGAAGCGAGGTAGGTTTTAGTTTCCCGACTCGAAATCGTAGAACTGGTTTTGGCCTTGCATTTACTATATATGATCTCTCTCTCTCCGATCTCTCTCTCTCTCTTCGTATATTCCTTGGATCTCTTCCATTTTGCATTCGATTCTTTCTTGGTGACTTGGTTCTAAAATGACAAATTCTTTCCAAAACCTAAAAATAATCTAATTAAACATTTTGAAATGCTTGCGTAGAAAAAGGAGAGCCGTCATTCGTTTGTAAGTATTGCTGTCCCGTAGAAATTAGAATTAGTCATTAGATTAACAAACTAGAAACTATTCATCTTTGGCCTTAGTTTACTCTAAACATTCTAATTTCTTGATTTGAGTATCCTTTTAGTCCCCTTTTTTACCATTTCTAAGCAGAAACTAACTCTTATCTCCCCCTTTGACCAGACGACTCCCGCTGGACGAAAATCGAGCAAACTAGAAAAGGCATGATGCAAGACTTCACAGTCAGCTACCACATCCTGATGCCCTCCACGGCATATACATTCCGGGTGATCGCCTACAATCGCTACGGCATTTCGTTTCCCGTTTACTCCAAGGACTCGATCCTGACGCCCTCGAAACTTCACCTGGAATATGGTTACCTGCAGCACAAGCCCTTCTATCGGCAAACCTGGTTCATGGTCTCGCTGGCAGCCACCTCTATTGTGATCATCGTGATGGTCATCGCCGTGCTGTGTGTCAAGAGCAAGAGCTACAAGTATAAACGTAAGTACAAGAGATCTTTATCATAAAGGCAAAGCTAACTCGAATGTAATCCCTTGCAGAGGAGGCCCAGAAGACTCTAGAGGAATCCATGGCCATGTCCATTGACGAGCGACAGGAGTTGGCTCTCGAGCTATATCGGTCTCGTCACTGCGTTGGAACTGGCACCCTGAACAGTGTGGGAACTCTGCGCAGCGGCACCTTGGGCACCCTGGGCAGGAAATCCACCAATCGACCCCCGCCGGGTGTACATCTTGGCAAGAGTCCACCACGACCCTCGCCCGCCTCCGTGGCGTATCACAGCGACGAGGAGAGCTTGAAGTGCTACGACGAGAATCCGGACGACAGCAGTGTTACCGAGAAGCCCTCGGAGGTGAGCAGTTCGGAGGCATCGCAGGTGAGTTGAGGGAAAAACAGTGACCAAGTAAAATATGCCAGAAGAAGAAGCTTGTAAAGATGACCTTAAGCCTTAAGCAGACTCAAGCTAATAGATCTTTAGATACTAAACCTATGTCTTAAGCTAACTTAGTTGATCTCACTTACTAACCCAACTAAATTTCAAATTTGACACGCTCTTTGGAAGCAACCAATTGTCTGTCATAAACAAACATATTTTACTAAGGAGCGTTCACCTGCTTGATGAGCACTATGATCAAGGCATGTGGACTAGATCGTGTTTCCCTCATGTTTTATGTTTGTATAAAGTCTTGAGTTTCCTAAAAATTTACAACTTATACCGGAGAAGAAACTAATTTAAATAAATTTTACTCTTTGTTTTAGCATTCGGAGAGCGAGAACGAGAGCGTGCGCAGCGATCCACACTCGTTCGTGAATCACTATGCCAACGTGAACGACTCATTGCGGCAGTCGTGGAAGAAGACCAAGCCGGTGCGGAACTACTCCAGCTACACCGATTCAGAGCCGGAGGGTAGTGCAGTGATGAGCCTCAATGGTGGCCAGATTATCGTTAATAATATGGCCAGATCGAGGGCACCACTGCCCGGCTTCTCGTCGTTCGTCTGACAATCAACCGAGTTCTAAGATCTAAGCACCAGTAGCAACGGCACCGTCATCCGCGAGACCTTTGTCTAGGCTTGGAGGAGGAGCTGGGGGCGAATCGAATCAATGGAGGAGGACGACATACCAACACACCAACACACCCACATATCAGACTGATCCAGTACAGTACCTCCAGGCCTCAGCCCCTCCAGCTCTCCGACGATGCCCTGCTACGGGGATATACATAAAAATTATACAAAACACCAGACATTCGGTTAGGTTATCTTGTATGCATTTAGTTTTAGTTTTAGTTTCTAGTTTCTAGTTACGAGAGATCTGAGATTTGCGAGCATTTGTGTGCCCCTCACCTTGGGTTCTGGTTACTTGCCTTTTAACTGTTTTTGTTTTAGCCAAGAATGTTACCTGTAAGCAGAACTTTGATCTGTATAATCTGTATCTCTGTAGAAGAACAAGCCAGCCAAGTTAGCATCATCTGAACTTACCACTGCAGCTGTAGGACAAACACTCAACCCAGGGTGCCCAGGCAGGGGCACATTAGTTTTAGCCGCCTGAGTTTCCCAGCATGACTCTGCTCCTAATTTTTTTTAGTATTTATTCGTGAATGTGCTGTGTATGAGTGCGGTGCCGCCTGCCACGACGCCTCCAAGCAATGGCATTTATCGGATGGGGCATGGTAACTCGAATCGGAATCCGAATGCGAATCCAAAATCCTGTGATAAGCCGATTCTCCGTGCCCCATCGAGTTTCGTCGAAATGATTTCCAATTTGTGTTCAGCGCGTGGCAGGGCAGCCTTGCCTGTCTTTCGAGTGACTGAGTGAGTGTGAATGATGTACGCGTTTAGTCCGGCGCAATCTCATTATATTTAAACAAAAAAAAAACGACAAGCAGTTATGTTTTATGTTTATTTCTTTTTTTTTAGTGAGGTAGAAAATGAAGAAGCAGAAGTTTGGACGGCGAGGAGGGGGAACACCGATGCAATCGGTGGACTAGGTAGGAGAAACCAAGAGAGAAAGTTCAAGGGAAAGGGAAAGGGAAAGAGATATGTAAACAAAAACAAACTTATAACGTGTAAGCAAGGATAAATGTATGTTTTTTTTTTTTGGTAAGGCTAAAAACGGAAGAAGAAGATGAAGGCTTTGGGAATGAGCAGCAGAATAGCTGACGACGACGAAGGCTTAGGATACGTATATTCATCAGATATATTGATAGGCCATATTAATGCAATTTCTTTACCACTTAAGCCCACAAACGAAAGCAACTGTAACACACAAAGCAAGCAAACAAACAAGCAAGCAAGCAAGCAAGAAAACAACAAACAAACAAACAAACAAACAGACGAGCAAACTTGCAGAGCTGCAAACACAAAGAAACGAAGGAAGGGTTCTTCTCGAGCGCATGCGCAGCAGCAGACTTAGCACTAAGTACGATCAGTACCGATCTTTTTAGAGGTAAGATGCATTTTTTTTTTTTGTTAGTTGGGGCCCAGTCCCGCCGGGGGGACTTAGCCCTGGTACTCTAGCTCGTAACACTTCGATTGTTCAGTCCCTGACGCCCGTAGCTGTAAAATCGTACTCGTAATTGTATTTGAATGCAGTTTATATTTATGACTATATTTATATATCGATGTATACATGTATATCTAAAAACCTAAACGACTGATTATATATTTTCCCCCGATTAGTTGTATACTTCACCTTCCTTTTTTTATACTACCTAAACTACGAAGCATTAACTACGTTTAGACCACTTTGTGACGCCCGCTGAAACGAGAATTCGGGAATTTGGGAAACTCTCCGCGCGTTTCCACTCAAATCGCAAGCTAATTTCAACTTCAAAGACTCGAAGCACAAGTTCATCTAGTTAAGTAAATGTAATTGTAATTGTAATTGTTGAATTGATGATTGATTGGTTGATTGATTGATCGATCGATTGATTGATTGATCCTCCTCCACTAATTGAGGGGCAAGTCAGTCGATGGAGAGCGGCTTTAGAGATGGAAAAGGCGGAAAGGCGGAGCTCAAGGACTTGGGCTCTCGGGGCAAGTTCAGAAATCCGTGCAGCAAGCGCAAAGTATTAGAATATTGATAAATACAATTTAAATGTGTAAATGTAATTGATGGAGCATCCGAATATGAATCAATAAAAGAACCACAAATCAATGTGAAACCCCCAATCGTTATCCTTAATCCTTACTCCTTCTACTCCTTTTACTCCTTCTACTCTTTACTTTACTTCATCAAACTAACTTTCTTGTTTTTCCAGACTTTCTCTATTCATTTCCACATCTCTAATCCCCTAAATAAAAGACAAAACGAAGCATTCTTTCGGCAGGCATTTACTCAGAAGTCAGGAGTCCATCGACCCAGATTGGCTTAATACTAAGGAGGCTGATCTAAACTGGACTGTCTGAGGTCATATCCTGCGTTTCCGGCTGGGCCTTGGTGGCGCCCTCCTCCAGTTCCTCATCGTCCTCCTCCTCTCCCTCGCTTTCTGTCTCGCCATCAGCTTCCGCTTCCAATTCCTGTCTCTCGATGTGACGAGCTGCCGGCTGGGATGCAAACGAAGAGGATGCAGTGGCCAGATGAGGAGACGATGTGGCCGCTGTCGAGGATGAGACCAAACTGGGCATACTCACAGGGCACATGCAGGGCACAAATTGGATGCGACTGCCGCTGGAGGACCCTGGCTCCGACACCACACTCTGCTGCTGCTGCTGTGGCTGGTAGTTGAAGTAGTCCGGATACGGATACTGGGGCCTGGCATTGTACAGATTGCTCACTCGGCGGTTGTACGTCGGATACTCGCCGAAGCGCATTAAGGTCGAAGTGGATCCATCGGAGAAACTAGAGCTGGTGGACTGAGGGTGAGCTGATGGTGGTGGTGGTGGTGGTGGTGCAGGCGTTGTACTGGTGGTAGTCGTGGTAGTACTAGTCGTAGTTGTTGGTGCCGGCGTGGTTGTCGTTGTGCTGGTCGTTGTGGTTGTTGTTGGCGCTGGAGTGGTGCTAGTACTAGTACTGATCAATCCCGTCGGAGCAGTTACCTCCTGCCTGGAAACCGAGTCATGTCGCCGGGCAGCCGCATAACTGGTCACCGCATACGGATCATACTGGGCTCCGGGCAGCAAAGGAGTCTGTGCAGCTCCAAAGCCAAAGAATCCGGGAGCCAACGGCTGGTAGGTGTAGGTTCGGAAGTAGGTAAGCGGGATTTGCTGCATCATTTGGTGGCCACCACTGGGCTCCCTGGTTTCCCTGCGGACATAGTTCAGGTGAGTTCTTGCCGATCAACAGTCTCGGTTTTCTACTTACGTTGTTGTCTTTGGCCACCAGAAGGCGTTGGAGAGCTTGGAGCCGGCCAGGATTAGAGTGATCTAACGGGGAAGAAAGAAGGAGCCAGGATTACTTTCACAGAGCAACAGATACTTGGGTAAGTCCTGCATTTTTCTATTGCTTTTTTGGGGAATATTTTTCATGGTGAATCATTCTAATAATCAAATTTTGATCAATTTATGATCAAATCATATAACCTTTTCCATAAAACTATCCTTAAAGAGTTTTTGATATAGGATCTGTACATAAATTTTCCGATCAGTTTTTAAGTTTCTTAGCAGCCATTATCACGATTATCAATCACTTTTATTATACAACAAAAAAAAAAAAAAGGAAGGAACTTCTCTTGTAACCTGTAAGGATATTCCAAGTCCTTTCTCTCACATACCACAAATTTAAGCCACATTTCTATTTGCATGGCACACACTTCACTGGGGGGTGGGGTGTTGGATTTCCCGGTATCCTTGGGAAACTATTAAAAAATATGAAAAAAAAGAAGGAAGAGCGATCTTATGTTAACCACTCGCGTTCGCGGTTGCCTTTGTTCTAAGCCCAAAAAGAGTCACGGTCCGAGCTTTTATAGCCGAAAACCGGGGATCGGTGGTGTGGTGGCCCATGGCGATGCTGGTCAGAACAGAAAAGCCGACGCCAAGCAGGTTTTTCCCCACAAGAAGAAAATATGGAAGGGGCAGTAAGGTAGAGTGGCAGAGGGTAGAGCCCTTCTTGTAGAACAACGAGAAAATTAATTGCAGGCTGCAGAGCGAAAACTAAGCTGGGAAATCAATAATAATGAACGGGCGAACAACCTGGAGAGGTGCATCATTGACAAAGTGATTGAATGAATGATGGATCCACTGACGGAAAGGGGGAAGGGAAAGGGGTAGGGGCAAGGGATAAGGGGCAGGGGCCACGGCTCTTAAAGGGGCCGCATCCATTCGATTGGCCATAAAAATTTGTTGATGACTTTTCTTTGCTTTTTAACACATTCAAATTTTGTTTTTCTTTCTGATTTGGATTCTGGAATTTGGAATTTGGGTCAGCCGAGGCCTTAGGCCCAAACAGTCCGATTTGCACGATGGGTTATGCAACTATATGGCCGCCCCAATAGCCGATCGATCTCAATAGAGTGGTTCCCTATTCTTTGCTTTCCAATTTACGACCGCCTTTTCAGAGCACGGCCTCTGCTTTGTTCCCCAGGAATTTATGGCTTTATGGCTGACCTTTATGATTATTTCCAAAACTGTTCCACTAGGCGACCGACCCATTACAATCTAAACTGTCTCATGGCATTATCTGAATGGCTATATACTCGTCTAAGAGAGGCGTTAATGATCACCTCTGGTGGTTCCCTGTCATAGCCTGGCTTACGCCGAGTTCTAGGTTGTAGTTCTGCTCTTCTCCCTTCCAATTTCCCAAATGAAAATGTCTTTGATCTTAAGTTACTCTTTAATCTTAGATATATGACTTGATATTTTCATTACCTCCGCGGCTTGAAGCCGTTCTCTATGTACTTGGAGGTGTAGTACTTGGTCTGGTTATCCGATCCCAGAGAGCGGTGATGGGGTCCCTTGTAACTGAAATTGAAGAGAGACTTGATATAGTTGGTTGATTTATACGTTAGAAGACCTCACAGACTCACCGGGAATTCAGGATAAACCAGGTGCTGGGCTCCCTCTCCGATGAGATCCTTGCCGAGCGATCGCTCTTCTCTAGCAGATTCTTGGATGAAGTATGGGCTTGGGGCTGGAGCAGTTTGCCCAGCGTATAAACTGGAAAGGCGTAGTATTCCCTCTTAAGGGCATAGCGAGAGCTCTGACGCAGAGGTTGGGGCGTAGTGGTGGTGGTCAGGGCTTCCACCACAGGTCGCTCCAGACTTTCGTCAAAGTAGACGATCTGGAAGGGTTCGCTGGTGCTGGTGGTGGTGGTGATTTCCGTTGGCTCGAGTGGTAGTTCCACCTCCGTTTCGGGTTCCTGTACTGTCAGCCAGTCTCTTTCATCAACATCCTCCTCCAGGCCATCGTCAAGATCACTCAGCTCCTGGAGCTTATCTGGCTGTATTTCTTCACTGGAATAATGCCGGTGATTGTCGTTGTGAGGAGTTGATCGGCGCAGGACAGTCTGCCATTGCATCACCTCCTGGGGGGAGTGGAAAGCCTCGTATTGCTTGGCTTTCTTCCTTTTCCGCTTGCCCAGCTTGGCCATTTCCTCGATCTTGGGCAACTGTGTCTCATAAGCCGGAGGAGTTGGTGGTGGAGTGGTTGTGCTAGTGGTTGTGGTGGTGGTGGTGGCGCTAGTCCGTCCCGGATCACTGATAGCCTCATGTGCGTAGAAGGGTATCAAAGTCAGGTTCATCAGCTCCCGTTGTCCTGGCAAACGGAACCGCTCCACTATGGGCTTGGGCCGGAACATGGGCGTCGATGGGGGATAGAGAACTTGGCCTGGCACTGGTTCCTGCATGGGATATCGCCTCCTGCTCAGCATGGTGTTCAGTATCAGTTCCCCCCTAGTTCCATTATACACGAAAATGGGATAATTATCCCTGCCCAACTGCAGGGAGTTCTCTCCGGGAGCGTTATCGAACACGGGCAGCGTTCGACGTCCTTCGCGACGATGACTCCTGGTTTTCTGTACGGGCTGAACGTACTGGTGAGGCAGCTGCAGGCGATGTGGCATCATAAAGCGTCGCTGAGGCGTAGAGGGTAATCTGGGAGGCGATGCAGGCAGGGCATCCCGATCTTCATGCCTAACCAGAAAGGTAATCGGTCCAGGCTCAGCTTTTTGACCTCCTCCTCTGCCCTGCCGACGGGTCAGCCGTGGAGACATCCTGGTGGTGGTGTCATAATCCGCTTCTGGGCGGTCTAGTCTGTGCCTTTTGGCCAGTCCATCCTCCAGGATCCACAGAGGACGATGCCCGTTCTCCAGGTAACTTTGTCCCGAGACCACTGTAATCCAAAGTAATAGAATCCAAGGCACCTCCATTTGGCGCGACGAAAGTCTGTGAAATGGTCAACCAGCCACTTCGAGTACATCACTTTATAGGGCTAAAGTTGGTCTTGGTTTTTGGCTGATGGCTGATGGCTGATGGCGTAACAAACTTTCGTTTTGGGCGAAAATCGCACAACTCGTTCTGAGTGGGTCGGCAAAGGTCGCGAAGCAAGTTGTCCCCTGCCTGCCTGCCTGCCAGTGGGTCACTCGGTGTAATGTAGGTCCGAAACCAGAAGAAAGAGTGCCTTTGGCACTGATTTGATGTTGTCTGAAGCTGAAATGGGCAATAAGAACTTGGCTAGTTAACTGATAACATTAATAGTGGTAATAAGAACTAGTTTGGCTATAATCTTGGGCCACTTCTAATGCAAATCTGAAGATGTTTTACGGAATGTAGCACTGACTTTTCATAGGGAACTTTTTCAATGTCTTTAAAAGAGAGTCCCTAACCCTTGGATCTCTTGTCAGAGGTTTTCGAAGTGCCTGCCTGGTGGTTGGACAGCTGCCAGCTCCACTTCAGCATCAATGGAGCCAGCTATTTTCCAACTCCATCTTCGTGGCCCATCAGCTGTCAAAACTGGCATTAATCAAAACACTCTTAACCGATTCCCTTTGCTGCGGAGGCCGGCCTGCTCCTCCGGCCCTCGGCGAGAGCATCGCAGTGGAAGTGAATTTTCGGATTTTCGGGGATTCTTTGATGGGCAGCCCAGACCTTTTCTCAGCGTGTCCACACGGCTAAAAAACATATATACTTTGAAGGTTTATATCTTTTTGGTTAGTGACTATCATTTGAAAGATAGTTTTGATAGACTCCGGCCAAGAGAGAGGTTAAGATCTTATCAATTTAGTATTTTGAAATATATCTCATAACACCAGGTAAAATCATTATTTAATCACCTTCTTACCATATCAGTTTTTCTCTGTGCAGGGCTCAGTTTTCTGTTTTGACCGCTGGTTGTTCTGGGCCAACTTGTTCTTGTTTCTCAAGGGCCGCCAGTGTGCAACAAGTGGAACATTCTGACCAAAAAAAACGGGGTTAATAGCCTCTGCCGGACGGACAGCTGCAGGCGGTCGTGAGTTCTCACTTTGTAGCCATGGCCTTAGAATGAAAATGGGAAATGGGAAATGGAAAAATGATTGATTAGCCCTGTATATCGCGGCTTTGATCGATCAATCGGCGCTTGCATGTGGCATGTTGTTGCATTCTACATGTTGCGCGCCTGTAAAACTCGTACTAATTACGAACGAAAAAGATGCGTTTTCGAGGCGGGACAAAGACTTCATGTGGGATATTTGTGTGATCTCCAGCCGGGTGGAAAGACGAGAAATTGCCTGCCTGTCCTAGCGAAATGAATCGAAAATCGTTTTCCCATCGATCCCCATTCATTGATGATCCGATCCTCTTCGCCAGCTCTTTGATTCCGATTGCGTGACTTGACAGCATTATTAAGTTGGTAGTTGGCCAGAAAGAGAGCAGTACGACTCCTGGACTGGCCTGGATTAATTCGCTTTTAATGGCCTCTAATGCGTTTCAAATTCCCCCTGCTACTCTCACCCTCAAATGTCATAAATTCCACACATCCACGGTCCACCAAGATCCAGCCAGTCCCTGCTGTACGTCACGCCAACTCGTGCCTATAATTAACAGCCAGAAATATTTGGACAATCATAAAACACACGCAGACACAGACGACTGCCAGAAGAAAAGGCATCTAAATCATTGAGATGCGGGGATGGGAGAATCATTTTTGACACCGACAATTTGTTCTATCAATTTCGGCATTCCGCATAGAATGCATTTTATGTAAATGAAAGTTGTCCTTAATCTGGAGCCCGGCCGCGTCGTCTTGTATGTCTGATTGATGTCCGGTGTGCCCTGAGCTATGAACAATAAACCAATCAAGGGCCAGAAGATGTCAAACGATTTGTTTGTCCATTGTGTGGCTCCTTCGCTGCGGAGTGTGTTCACATGGGCGAGGAACATCATTAATGCGATGCACAGATAACCATCTCTAATGGTTGCGATAGAAGAGTCTATGGCTGGCTTCTTACAGCTACAGAATTCCATTGGCCAAGTCTTAGATATTTGTGGAACTTCTTAAATTTTTCTAGTCCAAGTAACCCCTTCGCTATGCCTATCAACTTGGCAACTCAATATAAAACATTCCAAAATTAGTTCAAAGTTCTTGATTAAATAAAAATTTGGTATAAAGTTACCCTTCTGAAGTACAATTTATTAATTAATTCTGCTTCGAGTAGGTACTTAACGTGTCAATCTAACTCTCAACTATATGTTATTCTAGATCCTACGTATCTTTCCCAAGCTCTCAGTTATCTTATCGAAGCAATTTGTCCATCTGTCTGTAAGCCTGCCCATAAATAATATAGTTATATTTATTGGCCTAATCGCTTTCAATTGCCATGTCAAATGCCAGTGTTATCTGAAAGATACTTCAGTGCCATCCTGAATGTTCTACCGGTTTCTGCTTGACAGAGGCGGCAGGCCTCTGTCTCGAACTCTCTGTACCTGCTGCCCGCAGGATACAAAGTGTGAATGGGTTTTTGGTTTCTTTCTTTGAGTTCCCCTTCTGCCTTCTGAAGTATAGAATTTTTCCATAGGCCGAAAAAGAGCTTTCTTTTGTCAGATATCTTAAGCTTTTCGCCGGCTGAAATCGCCGTCGTGAGATCTGCGATGACGAAGACCCCAAAAAGAGCAAAGCTCTGCGATCCCAAGATCTGCGTGAGCAAATTCAATTAGCGAGTCGTTCCAGCACATGTTGCTCTCTGGGTCTCGTATTCCGATTCCGAATCCGAGTCCGGCGAAAGCTTAGCCCCGACCCCGTTCCAGCGCTGTCGTCTAATTCTCTACTTCTGCCCCACCCTCTTTGCACAGAGAAAAACAAACTTAACTGAGATCAATTTTTTGAGTTTATTTACGTTTAATTGGTGGAAATGGCCTTAACTGGCCTAACTTATTTAACTGAAATACTGAAAATGCTTAAAATATATGATTAGTTTATAATCAGGAAGCTTAACGGGTAAAAGAACATTTCTTTGGCTAACAAGTCCAGCTGTTTTTCTCTCCGTGTGGCCTTTTGACTTGGACGGCAGGCACAAGCAGCTGCCTCAGCCTCGAGCTCAGTGCGAATTGCGTTCTCGAAGCGTGTGGTGGCGGTTGCCCCTGTAGTTAGTTCTCACAGTTTTTTTTTTTACACTTTCTGAGTGTTGTGTTTTGGTCACAGTTGGCTCTGAGTTGAAAGTGACAGCAGTCGATTGTTTTGGCCCAGCATTTAGTCAGATTTTGTAGCAGTTAGTATCTAGTTAATACCATTTGGACAGAGAAGCAGAACCGCCTTTGCAAGGATGGCCGGACAGCAGCATGATATCTCGCATGCCAAGCGCGCCGCCTTTCAGGTTTTGGCCGGCGGTTCGGCCGGATTCCTGGAGGTCTGCATCATGCAACCCCTCGATGTGGTCAAGACCCGCATCCAGATCCAGGCCACTCCAGCGGCGACTGCCGGTGGTCTTGGGGAGGTGAGTGTTTACGGGGTACTCACGTACTCGGCCAGATAGCCAGGTATCTACCAGATAGATAACGTCAACTCGGGATGATGGTAGGAAAGCGGAAAAACACCTAAAAGATTAGGAACTTTTAAATGGGAAGCTCCACTCTTGTATTTAGCGGGAGAACCAAAAACTTTCTTATACTTTTTAAGCACAATATCCGAAGAGGCTGCTTCTAAGATATCTATCTATATCTAGCTTCCCCCATCAGCTGTGGGTTGTTTTTGTTTTGCTATGGGGCTGGGGCTTTTCTTTTTTGGATAAGGGCAAACCAAGGTCACGGACACGCACTCTCTATGCTCTCAAATTTGAATTGGCTCTCTCTGTGTTTACATTTCCACTGCCAAGGGGCAGACAATCCATATTTATCAGCAGTCGAAGTGAAATGCCGCGCGCGCTCCCCTGGAATTAGCTTATCAGCTATGTATATAAATACATATATATGTAGACCCATGCCAGACGTCCCAAACATTCACCAATCCCAATTGAAATCAGAATTATGCGCCGATAGCAGTCCGGCTCTTTCAATTTTCTTCCGACACTGGACACGCGTGCGAGTCATTAGTTTTGGGTTAGCTTCTGCTTCTAGGGAAGGTGCCTGAGAAGCCACGGGTGCGGAGAACTTTGTTTACTACTTGTTATGGCCCAATTCCTCGAGAGGTCCACCTATCTAATCTGGGTGTTTGCTGGCTGCTGCTTTGGGATATCTTTGTGTTAAGAGGGCCTTTATTTAGGAAAATACCTATATTATGGTTTAAAAAAACCCGCAAACAAGAAAGAAACAATTGCTATTATTCGTGCTTAGCTTCAGGAGATATACTTTATGGAACACAATAATTTGTGTGCAGACCCCAGCATAAAAATGTCTTAAAACTGCGACACAATTTCGTTTTCTATTGCATCTCTCGGCTGACGTGCTGCGATGATTAAACAAATTTACGATTGCAAATAAAAGCAGTCAAAGAAAGGCATGGAGGAGGCGGTTGACTGGCGGCGGGGGAAATTAGCACGCATATAGCAAATAAATTTATGTGGAACAATGCACGCAGTTGCCCGTAGATATAGATATTTTCCAATGTGTTGAATTTGCTCATTCATTCAGTCATTGCGACAATACATTATTTAAGAAACTTTTCATTTATTTCATATTTACCCAGCTTTTATGAACAAAAAGGAATATACTTATAAAGTTATTATTATTTTCCAGCTACACTACAATGGCGTCTTTGACTGCTTTGCCAAGATGTACCGCCACGAGGGCATCACCTCATACTGGAAGGGAATTATGCCGCCAATTCTAGCAGAGACCCCCAAGAGGGCCATCAAGTTCCTGGTGTTCGAACAGACGAAGCCGCTCTTCCAGTTCGGCTCACCCACGCCTACGCCGCTGACCTTCTCATTGGCCGGACTGACAGCAGGCACACTGGAGGCCATTGCCGTGAATCCCTTCGAGGTGGTCAAGGTGGCCCAGCAGGCTGATCGGCAAAAGAAGATGCTCAGCACGTTCGCGGTGGCAAAAGGCATCATAAAGCAGGACGGACTGGGCTTTCGAGGGCTCAACAAAGGCATCACCGCCACCATGGGACGCAACGGAGTCTTCAACATGGTGTACTTTGGGTTTTATCATAGCGTGAAGAACGTGGTGCCCGAGTACAAGGAGAACCATTTGGAGTTCATACGCAAGGTTACCATTGGTTTTCTGGCCGGCACGCTGGCTTGCTTCGTCAATATCCCCTTCGACGTGGCCAAGTCGCGAATTCAGGGACCACAACCAGTCGCCGGCCAGATCAAATACCGTGGAACGTTTAGCTCCATGGGCATCGTTTATCGCGAGGAAGGTTTCCGGGCGCTGTACAAAGGACTCGTCCCTAAGATCATGCGTTTGGGTCCAGGCGGTGCTATCCTCCTGCTGGTCTTCGAGTACTCCTACAACTACCTACTCCACAACTACTCGTAGTTGCCAAATCCCCCAACTAGATAATAGGAGGCATCCGCCTTTACCTTTTTTTTTAAATATTATGTATATTTCATAGGTAGTCGAGTAGTCGAGACAACGCAGTCATGTAACGCTATATTATTTATATATATATATATATATATATATATATATATATATATAGATTTGCAATACTATGTTTGGTTTTTAAGCTCTAGCTCGGTGAAAACAAGACGTCGTGAAAATGTATTTTATGTATGATAAAAAGAACAATTTAATAAAATAAGAAAAAAACGAATATATAAAGCATTTTTCGAAAAGTTAGATGATTGTTGCACACTTTTAGGCATATGCGAATGGTATGGAAAAAAGGTTGCATACTTTTAGGCACACACTACTGTTATGACAAAAAGTTTGCATACTTTCAGGCCTTCGCTGTAAACATGACGAAAAAAGCTGGCATACTTTTAGGCATTAAACATTTAATTTTTGCGACAATAATTTTTAAGCAGGGAAAACGCAACTTATTTTTCGTCAAAAATTTTGACCAGTTTTCACAAAAATTTTTCATTAATACATTTCGTCAAAACTTTTGACGAGTTTTCGTCAAAAGTTTTGACCAGTTTTAAGAATATTTCGGTTTTCGTCAAAATATTTGACCAGTTTTAAGAACAATTCTGTTTTCGTCAAAAGTTTTGTCCAGATTTCGGCAACGCTGCTATTGCGTCAAAAATTAAGTATACGTCGTTTGACAGCAGATATCCCGGTTTGGTTGCCGTTTCTTAGCTCTAACTTTGTCAAAGCAAGCCGCATGGCCGCAGCAATGACTGTTTTATGCAGCTAACAACCAAAACTTTAAACCCCTATACTTGCTTTTATAAATATAGTTCTGATTTTTTGGTGCGAGCTCTGTTTTAAGGGCAGTAAACCGATTTTTAACAGAAATTTGCAACATTATTTTCGGTATTTTAGCTCTAGCTCGGACAAAACAAGGCGCACAGCCAAAAGAACGACTGTTTTGTGCTGCTAACGACCAATACTAACAACCCCTATCACTCGTTTTTCGATTTTGTGAAAGTCAATTTTGGCCCAAATTTCGCATTTTTGATAAGGGGTACCATCATCAAAATCTTCAAAAAATGCCCAAAAATGAAGTTTTCCAGATTTGAATGCAAACCAATTGGGAATCATGGCAATCAAATTACGAGCCCTACGAGGTATTACATTCTTCATTTGGACGATTTTTGGCTGTAATATGGCTTAAAAACTGATTTTATTGCGCCACAAATTAAGTATACGTCGTTTGACAGCAGATATCCCGGTTTGGTTGCCGTTTCTTAGCTCTAACTTTGTCAAAACAAGCCGCATGGCCGCAGCAATGACTGTTTTATGCAGCTAACAACCAAAACTTTAAACCCCTATACTTGCTTTTATAAATATAGTTCTGATTTTTTGGTGCGAGCTCTGTTTTAAGGGCAAAAAAATCAGGAAACCGATTTTTAACAGAAATCTGCAATACTATGCTCGGTTTTTTAGCTCTAGCTCGGCCAAAACAAGGCGCACAGCCAAAAGAACAACTGCTTTGTGCTGCTAACGACCAATACTAACAAGCCCTATCACTCGTTTTTCGATTTTGTGAAAGTCAATTTTGGCCCAAATTTCGCATTTTTGATAAGGGGTACCATCATCAAAATTTTCAAAAAATGCCCAAAAATGAAGTTTTCCAGATTTGAATGCAAACCAATTGGGAATCATGGCAATCAAATTACGAGCCCTACGAGGTATTACATTCTTCATTTGGACGATTTTTGGCTGTAATATGGCTTAAAAACTGATTTTATTGCGCCACAAATTAAGTATACGTCGTTTGACAGCAGATATCCCGGTTTGGTTGCCGTTTCTTAGCTCTAACTTTGTCAAAGCAAGCCGCATGGCCGCAGCAATGACTGTTTTATGCAGCTAACAACCAAAACTTTAAGCCCCTATACTTGCTTTTATAAATATAGTTCTGATTTTTTGGTGCGAGCTCTGTTTTAAGGGGCTAAAAAAATCAGGAAACCGATTTCTAACAGAAATCTGCAATACTATGCTCGGTTTTTTAGCTCTATCTCGGCCAAAACAAGGCGCACAGCCAAAAGAACGACTGTTTTGTGCTGCTAACGACCAATACTCGTTTTTCGATTTTGTGAAAGTCAATGTTGGCCCAAATTTCGCATTTTTGATAAGGGGTACCATCATCAAAATTTTCAAAAAATGCCCAAAAATGAAGTTTTCCAGATTTGAATGCAAATCAATTGGGAATCAAAGCAATCAAATTACGAGCCCTGCGAGGTATTACATTCTTCATTTGGACGATTTTTGGCTGTAATATGGCTTAAAAACTGATTTTAATGAGCCACAAATTAAGTATACGTCGTTTGACAGCAGATATCCCGGTTTGGTTGCCGTTTCTTAGCTCTAACTTTGTCAAAACAAGCTGCATGGCCGCAGCAATGACTGTTTTATGCAGCTAACAACCAAAACTTTAAACCCCTATACTTGCTTTTATAAATATAGTTCTCATTTTTTGGTGCGAGCTCTGTTTTAAGGGCAAAAAAATCAGGAAACCGATTTTTAACAGAAATCTGCAATACTATGCTCGGTTTTTTAGCTCTAGCTCGGCCAAAACAAGGCGCACAGCCAAAAGAACAACTGCTTTGTGCTGCTAACGACCAATACTAACAAGCCCTATCACTCGTTTTTCGATTTTGTGAAAGTCAATTTTGGCCCAAATTTCGCATTTTTGATAAGGGGTACCATCATCAAAATTTTCAAAAAATGCCCAAAAATGAAGTTTTCCAGATTTGAATGCAAACCAATTGGGAATCATGGCAATCAAATTACGAGCCCTACGAGGTATTACATTCTTCATTTGGACGATTTTTGGCTGTAATATGGCTTAAAAACTGATTTTATTGCGCCACAAATTAAGTATACGTCGTTTGACAGCAGATATCCCGGTTTGGTTGCCGTTTCTTAGCTCTAACTTTGTCAAAGCAAGCCGCATGGCCGCAGCAATGACTGTTTTATGCAGCTAACAACCAAAACTTTAAGCCCCTATACTTGCTTTTATAAATATAGTTCTGATTTTTTGGTGCGAGCTCTGTTTTAAGGGCTAAAAAATCAGGAAACCGATTTCTAACAGAAATCTGCAATACTATGCTCGGTTTTTTAGCTCTATCTCGGCCAAAACAAGGCGCACAGCCAAAAGAACGACTGTTTTGTGCTGCTAACGACCAATACTCGTTTTTCGATTTTGTGAAAGTCAATGTTGGCCCAAATTTCGCATTTTTGATAAGGGGTACCATCATCAAAATTTTCAAAAAAATGCCCAAAAATGAAGTTTTCCAGATTTGAATGCAAATCAATTGGGAATCAAAGCAATCAAATTACGAGCCCTGCGAGGTATTACATTCTTCATTTGGACGATTTTTGGCTGTAATATGGCTTAAAAACTGATTTTAATGAGCCACAAATTAAGTATACGTCGTTTGACAGCAGATATCCCGGTTTGGTTGCCGTTTCTTAGCTCTAACTTTGTCAAAACAAGCTGCATGGCCGCAGCAATGACTGTTTTATGCAGCTAACAACCAAAACTTTAAACCCCTATACTTGCTTTTATAAATATAGTTCTCATTTTTTGGTGCGAGCTCTGTTTTAAGGGCTAAAAAATCAGGAAACCGATTTTTAACAGAAATTTGCAATACTATGCTCGGTTTTTTAGCTCTATCTCGGCCAAAACAAGGCGCACAGCCAAAAGAACGACTGTTTTGTGCTGCTAACGACCAATACTAACAACCCCTATCACTCGTTTTTCGATTTTGTGAAAGTCAATTTTGGCCCAAATTTCGCATTTTTGATAAGGGGTACCATCATCAAAATTTTCAAAAAATGCCCAAAAATGAAGTTTTCCAGATTTGAATGCAAACCAATTGGGAATCATGGCAATCAAATTACGAGCCCTACGAGGTATTACATTCTTCATTTGGACGATTTTTGGCTGTAATATGGCTTAAAAACTGATTTTATTGCGCCACAAATTAAGTATACGTCGTTTGACAGCAGATATCCCGGTTTGGTTGCCGTTTCTTAGCTCAAAACAAGCTGCATGGCCGCAGCAATGACTGTTTTATGCAGCTAACAACCAAAACTTTAAACCCCTATACTTGCTTTTATAAATATAGTTCTGATTTTTTGGTGCGAGCTCTGTTTTAAGGGCTAAAAAATCAGGAAACCGATTTCTAACAGAAATTTGCAATACTATGCTCGGTTTTTTAGCTCTATCTCGGCCAAAACAAGGCGCACAGCCAAAAGAACGACTGTTTTGTGCTGCTAACGACCAATACTAACAACCCCTATCACTCGTTTTTCGATTTTGGGAAAATCAATTTTGGCCCAAATTTCGCATTTTTGATAAGGGGTACCATCATCAAAATTTTCAAAAAATGCCCAAAAATGAAGTTTTCCAGATTTGAATGCAAATCAATTGGGAATCAAAGCAATCAAATTACGAGCCCTGCGAGGTATTACATTCTTCATTTGGACGATTTTTGGCTGTAATATGGCTTAAAAACTGATTTTAATGAGCCACAAATTAAGTATACGTCGTTTGACAGCAGATATCCCGGTTTGGTTGCCGTTTCTTAGCTCTAACTTTGTCAAAACAAGCTGCATGGCCGCAGCAATGACTGTTTTATGCAGCTAACAACCAAAACTTTAAACCCCTATACTTGCTTTTATAAATATAGTTCTGATTTTTTGGTGCGAGCTCTGTTTTAAGGGCAAAAAAATCAGGAAACCGATTTTTAACAGAAATCTGCAATACTATGCTCGGTTTTTTAGCTCTAGCTCGGCCAAAACAAGGCGCACAGCCAAAAGAACGACTGTTTTGTGCTGCTAACGACCAATACTAACAACCCCTATCACTCGTTTTTCGATTTTGTGAAAGTCAATTTTGGCCCAAATTTCGCATTTTTGATAAGGGTACCATCATCAAAATTTTCAAAAAATGCCCAAAAATGAAGTTTTCCAGATTTGAATGCAAATCAATTGGGAATCAAAGCAATCAAATTACGAGCCCTGCGAGGTATTACATTCTTCATTTGGACGATTTTTGGCTGTAATATGGCTTAAAAACTGATTTTAATGAGCCACAAATTAAGTATACGTCGTTTGACAGCAGATATCCCGGTTTGGTTGCCGTTTCTTAGCTCTAACTTTGTCAAAACAAGCCGCATGGCCGCAGCAATGACTGTTTTA